TTACCCTTTGACCTCAGGGTGTGGTTGACCCCTGCCATTTAGCTTTTTTGTGAACAAAGCCATCAAGTGACCTGTCAGGTAGTGTAAAATAATGTGGTCTGCCACCGGTTTAAGTGGCGACCTGACTGATGGTTCACTATTAGCATGTGCGAGAGGCGTTATTAGAGAAATTAACTGAAAGGAGCGCAGGAAGAACGAAATACATGACGAAAACCCAGAGATGTAAGATATAGCCCCCACAGTTACCCCCAGGGGTTGATCAGGTGATTTTCTCCTGGAAGGCACTTGAACTAACCACCCTACCCCTGTGTGACCTATAATTCCCCACTCTCTCTCTCCATTGTTCATTCCATTCACCCATTTACTACAAAAAACATGGAATACAATGTGTTTTATACGTACAAAAGACAAACAGACCGATCTTTTTATACGTTTATGTAACTTTGTAAGTCACAAAGACAGACAAAAATATACTTTTCTGCACTAGTTTGTAGCATCGACATAACCAAATAACTATCACTGAGTGCCTTAAATAAGGTGGATATGAGGTGTGTGTGTCTAAATGGCTTGAGTATTAAGACGAGTGGGGGCCACCAGAGGGAGAATAAGAAAGAAAAAATCAAGAAGCTAATGCTGGCATAGAAATGTTTGGAAACCCCTGTCTTAAAAACATTTTATGTTTGTGTGATTTAATTATTCAATTGTTAACTCTCAAGTTACAAAGAAGTCTTTACAAGTGCATTCATTTCACTGCAGGCAAAGGTTTAGATGTGTTAGAAAAATGTTTTGACAAAGCAGGCCTACAAATTTATTTTAGCTCAAATATAAAAAATACTCACCAAGGAAACCCTTTTGTTTGATATCTTTTAAAAAATACAAATTGTTTCTAAATTTCCTTTAATCTTTTTTTCCCCCACAAAGACTCCATCATCATGTTTTACAGCCAGGAACCACACTGCTGGTATTATGCATATGTACTGTAGGCACATACACACGCACACACACACACACACACACACACACACACAGATGCACACATGCATGCATACACAGCAGCCTGGCCGCCCTGCCTGCTCCTGGCAGTGCAGTGATCCTGCTTATACTGTCTCTCAGACCAACATATGGATGAATGGAATAGGCTGGCGACCTGCCGTGATCACTGCCACCTGTGTACAGTCAGTGTGTGTGCATCATCCGTTAACATGTCCACATGTCACAAGTATGAATAGATGACGAGCTGACTGGTTTTGTCTGTGAGCCAGTGGCCAAGCTGTGTCGTCTCCCTCCCGTCTGCTCCCCGACAGCTGGACCTCAAGTCCCAGTGTCTCCAGCCATTACTCCATCCATGCTTTACCTCTCTTTCTCCATATGTCACTGTTTCTTTTTGTTCATAGGGTCTCTCTATGTCCACACATTTTTTTTAAATGATGTCTTAGTCGAAGTTGCATTTAGTCCAAGAAATGATGCCATTTCATTTATTCAAGGTGAAATTTAAAACAGCTGGAATAGATGGAGATTCAAGCTAAATGAATTATAACTTGTCTCACTTGAATAGTGGACACTGACCTCACTGTAGGTGAAAGATACATTTTTAAAAGTTTAAACACTTTGGGATTATTATTATTATTATTATTATGTTATTTCTACCAAACGTGTAGAATAGATAATCTTTCTCCAGCCATTAAGGTAAATTAGTCTGTTCTCTCCTTCATTGTTATGTTATATTTTTCTAATCACATTGCTCCATCATCACCATACCTGTTATCATGTACCTCACTGCAGGGTATTTGTTGCATGTCACCGCTAAAAAGGCGATCCCTTTTCTTTCTGTTGTCTTAATTAAAAACAAAAGAGGCCGCAAACCTCGGGGGAATACGTTGGCACTGCAGCCCGTTCTCTTTGTGTCTCATCTACATTTCTCTTTTGCTCTTCACTGTCACAAGGAATTAAATAGCTTACACTTGATCTCTCTCTTGCACGTTCATTCACCCTTCCTGCGCTCATCTTTTGTTTTCCAATCCATCCGGCAGCTCAAACATGCATTGTAGCTCCCATGTTAGCATAGTTCCATTTTTATTTTTTGGGCTGACACACATGACTGCCCTGTTGACTTTGATCCTCAGATCTCGGGTATCAAACGGCGTTTCACTCACTTGCCCTAGGGAGGTGACAGAAATGTCTATGTTTTCCCTCTCTGTGCACAAGAGAGAAAAGCCAAGATGCAATAAGTGGAGAGTGAGAGATGACATATCCTGTGATCCAATATTATCCCCTCTGAGACAATGTGCCGGTTTCTCTGTGCAGTCATTCTGTGACATAAGTGACATGAATCTAACCCCTTTGTGTCTTTGTTGTTGTGCTGTCCAGTTGCCTGTACTTTATTAGTGGGATCTGTAGCCACACTAATGAAACTATTGATGTAGCCTTTCTTTTGTCTGCTGACCTATTCAACCATTCATGTCCAGAGCTGAGCTCTTAGGGAATCAGAAGACGGCAGGGATGAAGTTTCTCTACTGATTTTCATTGCCTGCGTGTGTATGTGTGCGTTCTGGCCATTTGAGCATGACTAAACAAGCTGCCTTCATATGAAAGCTATAAGGGGGTGACGGCTAAAATAGTTCTGGAACTGTTGTTCCAGTGTTAAAATTCCTGCAAAGCAGTTAAGAAACATTGATCTGCGCCTCCAAATTTCATTCATAAATACACAATAATGCTTTTAAAACATGCCAAAATCTTAAAAAAAATGCCAAAAAAGTATAATTACATTTTTCTTTAGTCCTTTATTTGGACACATTTGGTAACAGATGAAGTGATTCATCCAACATTTGGTTCACGGTTAATTTTTGCTGGGAAAATTACCATCACAGTGGCGCTTTAGCCCAGAGGCAATGTCTCTATCGTTGGTGTGGAACCCCAGGGTTCACCTCCTGGGCAAGATCGAATCCCTGTTAGGGCGGTTGGTACCTTCCAGTAGACTCACCACCCGCAGGAAGGTTCAGGGGGGTTGGTATGGTGCAATGTGATTTAGGTGGCGGTCATAGAGACTGCTGCCCCCACGACCTGGTAATGGATAAGAGGATGAAGATGGATGGATGGATGGATGGATGGACTACCATCACAGCTCCAGTCTACTGATCTGTTAAGACTGTGAGCACATGATACCAAAAGATAACGGCGTGAGTCAAAGCCTCGCCAATCAGTCCATCCTCCAATAGGCTTCTGACACCTTCTGTCAATAATGTTCAGTCAATAACACCTATACTCTACACTACAGGTCAAGTGATCTGTGTCCAATCACCAGTTTAGATTAGTGTGTGGCGTTCCTGTCTGACTTCTGCTTTGTGATTAAATGCTTGATTTTGTTTTTCCTTCGACTAAAAACCCATCTGTCAAGTCCAGGATCCACACGGCTATTAAGAAGCATGAAGAAGAATGTTGTATGTCACCATGCCCACCTGTCCGTTGGCATGTGTGTGTGAGTCTATGTTAGCATTGTCCAATCACCATCAAATGAGGCGCCTTAATGAATATGGTTGCAAGGCAGCGGGAAAGAAGTGTGCAAACACACAGATGTGAAACATTATGAGAGCAATGTTCTGGTGCCAGACCAAGATTGAGGACGGTCCGCCACCTGGCCTTAAGATCCTTCTAGCCTCACAGTAAGCAGGTTTTGCCTGTGTTTACTTTGTCTGATGATGGAAGGGTAATTAATGAAAACGTCGCAGTATATAGCGTGGGGAGGAAATATTTACTGTACAGATTTATGTTGGTGTGTTAATCAATGGCTAATCTTGCAGTAAGCAGGTCATTGTACAGTGAAGTCTTCACATCAAGCCTCATTTCTCTTATTTCAATTAACTAAAAGGAGGCGCTTAGTGGATGCTTAGGAGGCCAGCTGCTGCCTCTGTAGACTTTCCACCACTCATCTCTTCCCGTGAATCCTTGGAGGCATTATTCTCTCTGCAGGGATTCCCTAGCCAGCTACTTAGCCTAGCACTGTAAGCTCCTTCTTAACAAACCTTAGCCTGAGGTGAGAATGTGGCCTGTGTTGTGGTGCTGATAGTTCTCGTTAATCTTTGGATTAGCCCTGATTAGCCTAGACGTTACTCCTACTGATACTGCATGGGAATACCCATCATGCATTCACGCCATTTCAGACAAGCCAAGGCCAAGGCCCATTAACTTGATTCATTCCACTGCATGTGCTTGGATGCCTTATACTTTTAGTCACTAAATATTAATCAAAGATTTTTATTCATTAAAGGCAGAGAAAGTTAAACTTTAATGATGAACTGTGCGTCGGAATAACCTCAATTTCTGCACGAGCAACCAGAAATTATTAATCGAAGGTACAGAGAAATTAAACCATACAACAACAATGTAGTGTATGCTACAAGAGGAGAAACTTCACTTCACAACCCTCCGAGCGAACTGCTGAGGGAGAGTTTTCTAATAACACAGTTGGCGTAAAACTTCATTCCATATGGCTGTTCATAAAGCTGAGCCTTGATCAATGAGACGCTAAGGAAATGTGAAGGCTGTCACAGGAAAGTGACATATTGAACTTGATGTTGATGAGACTGTGATTAGGCAGAGGAGCCTTTAACTCACACTGGCCTTACATCTCAATCATTGTCAGTCAGTGTTAGACAGACAGGGTGAAGGAGACGGTAGTCTGGGGAAGACAGTCTTGGAGATGAACGCAAGCAGCCAAGGACAGTCTGTCTACACGGGCACCTGGCTGATTTTTAGTAGCAGCTGAACTACAAACTGGTGATGCCGACACAAATCCAAGCTGACCTGTTAGTAACTTGTAGAGAGAAAAGTTTAATAATAATAATAATAATTTAAGCTGTGTTTGTTCTGTACATGATGTTGTGTTTCTCCCTTTTTGCCATGTACTGTAACTAAACTTTGTTTAAATTATATGTTCATTAACATGTTCATCAAATCTGTTTTCCCTGTACCCCCTCCCCTCTGTCTCTCTGTTTGTTCCTCAGGTGGAGCGAGAAATAGCCATCCTCAAGCTCATAGAACACCCACACGTTCTAAAGCTACATGATGTCTACGAAAATAAAAAATACTTGTAAGTATCACCAGAGGATTTTTTTGCCTAGCCCTGATTTATTTGCACCGTATTAAATCATAAATATAGTGCGCACACTAAGGAATTGCGGGTTTGTATTTAAAAAAAAAACAAGGAATATCATTACTTTGAAGCGCTCTCCTGGATATTACTGCGCTCTTTAAAAATCCTACACATCACTGTGTTGGACCAAGGAGTGCTTTTGATTGGTGTTTTTATGGCTTTAGCCCAACAAAGATAGCCAGGGGCGGACGCTTCATTAGAACTGGCATAAAGCATTTAATTTGATCACACACACTAAGGAACTGCTAATAGGGAGAGAAAGTCTCTATAATGTAAACACTATGATACGCTTCTTAGAGGCAACGCCGTTGCATTCAGGAACCTTGGGCTGAGATTGAGAGGCTTTCACACACACACACACACACACCCAGAAACACAAACACAGGACTCTCTTACATAAATCTAGATGCCAATGTTTACAGTGGTGAGTGACAAACACATCAGTGGTTTATTGAAGCCCTCAAGATCTATGATGGACTGTTTATCAACCAAATTCAATTAGTTCTCATGTTGAGCTCCTAGGCCTAGAAGATTGAGTGTGCCACTTTAATCCAGGGCCATACATCTCCTACTTTAACTTTGTGGAAATAGCAGGATATTATGATTCACCGTGTGATTGAATTATACAAATCACATTTTCTGCTTATTGCTTCATCACGTCTGACAGCTGGTCACTGGTAGAGTCGCCCAAGACAAACCGCTGCACATTGGCAAAGCCCGGTGACAGTTTGCTTCTCTTAATATTTACGTATTCCCCCTCAAACATCTTTCCCTCAAAAGCCATTAGCTGATAGACACACTGCTAGCTCGGAGCCGTTAGTCCCTGAGCTTTTGAGATTTATTACGCTGTCGGCAAGATCCCACCGCAAGCTGTTAAAAGTGATGAGAGGTGAGGGAGTAGTAGGAAGGAGCTTGATATCCCAGCAACAATGTTTTATTAATGGACATTTCATTGCTAGAAATGAATGAATATTTACGTGTTGATGGAGCATGAAGAGTGACCTTTAAAAAGAGGTCCATGGTCTCAAAGAATATAATGCAAGTGATTAAAATGCACAATTGTTTTTTATTTCAAATTATAGCCATGGTGGTGTCAAAAATAATGACACGATCCTATGCATTGAATGCAAATAACAGCCACTTAATGTTACTCTTTATTTCCCAGCTGCCACTGCAACTATTCGAGGCCTTGGTTTCGTCCTTGCCGCTGTTTTTCTAATTTGATTTAAATAATAAGCATAAAATATTTAATTTTTTCAGGACAGAGATAGTGTCATTGAACATTTTTATCTGAGTATCTGGTTGAATTGATGTGACTCTTTGTTTGCAACAAAGCTATAAAGAAAACATGACCTGTCACTGCTCACAACGTGTCATACTTTTTTCTTTTTCTTTTTTACTACAATGCCGAACATTCCTCACAGCACCGTTTTTCACGTTATCAGCTCCATACAGTGAATCACAAACAATTTCATGGGTGAGATGTTTAAAATGTGGATGCATTCATTTCGGTTTGCAAAAACATAAACATTTGAGGTCATTCATTTGTATAATTCTGGCTTATTTTACTAGTTAACTTATGTTTGTGGTTTTGTCCATGCAGTACTTTTATTCACCTTGTTGTGTATTGTGTTTTCACTTGCTCCAGAGGTTTCAGGGATTTTGTGTTTACCTTGTCTGGCCTTTTAGTGCTCAAGGATGGTTTTTTGTCGAGATACTGTACCTTTTGGCAGTAAGATGTCAAAATACTGTAGTTAGAAAAGCCTGTCTGAGAATCACGACATCAACAGGTCCAGCTACTAAAACAGGTAAGACAAAGATCAAGCAGCAAGAGTAAGAGCACAACAGACGCCACACAGGCCGAAACAAGTGTGTGGCCTTAAAACAAGGCAGAGTCTAAGCGGGTGGTCAGCCTGCTCTGTGCCACAGAGTGGAGAGTAGGGAACAGGGTCTACCATCCTCAGCAATGAATCAGAGCTCTACCTACCCGGGCCTACAGGGTCGTCCCATTTGAGACAACCCACTCCCCCATTGGCTGTCAGAAAGGTGAATGCAACGCTGCCGAAGTTCTGTCCAGAATTCTCTATATAATTCAGCTGTTACACAAGTGGTTAGAGTGTCTGGTGTCTGGGCCCATCACAAACTATATATAGTCAAGAGTAAAGATTGGTGCCCCCCCCCCTACTGTGCCTGCAGGGGCAGCCTAGAGGTGACAAAATGTAAAAATAGTCAACCTGCTGTGGCTTTGAGGAGGTCAGATCATTGATCCTCAGTGCTTTGTCTCTTTATAATGGTTTGGGCTGACGATCCATCCTACATCGCCCTGACATTTATAGACCTCTGGTGTCTGGAGCTCTTGAATTATTTGTACTCTTTTGTGAAGCTCGGTGGAGAGCACAGGTGTTTGTTCTTGAGTTTATAGTAAAATCTTTCCCTTCTACTTGTGTGTAGGGGTTCTTTCATCGTGTGCTGTCCTTTTTTTATCTTTCTATAATTCTCCCCTGTCTCCCTGCCTCTCACACAGGTACCTGGTGCTAGAACATGTGTCCGGTGGTGAGTTGTTTGACTACTTAGTGAAGAAAGGCAGGCTAACACCCAAAGAGGCCAGGAAGTTCTTCAGACAGATCATGTCGGCGCTGGATTTCTGCCACAGTCATTCCATATGGTAAGTGATGAAGGCACCATGCAGTAATATCTGTTGCTCTGAAAGTAAAAACACATTTTAACTGGTGAAATGAGTCTATTTAATGATAACCGTTTAACCACACCTGTATAAAACATCAATGTGGGGTTATATTTGTATCTGAAATTCTCCTTATTGAACAATTAACATTCTTTTATTGATTGTTGTAATAATATACTTGAGTGAAACAAACACCTTGTTGAGTTCTGACAGTATATTTTAAAAAGTCAAGTCAATCAAATTTAGTGGCTCACTTCTCACTTTTGTGTTAAATACTAAATATTTACATAGTAATAATACATACATTATTTAAAATATATAAATATAATTATATGTATATACAAGGAATGAGGGCTTTGTGAAATGGCAGGAGAGATGTGCATAATAATAATGTAAAAGTATAACAAGTATGTTTCGCCTGCTATACTGTTATATACTGCTATACTAGGACCTTTAAAATGACAAAAAGGATTAATTAATATTAAGATTAAATGAATCTAGAAGAAATTGAAAAGAAAATTCTGTATATATTGCCTGTGAACAGTCACCAACATTTAAATCCACTACAGTCAAGTCTGCACCTTTATGAACAACACATTTCATAAAGTGCTGCAGGTACTCTGAACCAGCTGAACTCTTTATCTATGAAGGACCATTACATCCTGTACAAGCTGAGAATAAGCAGCCTGTATCAACCAACCATAGCCACCAGAAGCAAACAGTGCTGATGTCATACAACACTGAACAAATAATCAGTGGCAAACTGCTCAATTATTTTGCCCTCTTTTCATGCAACACTGTGACTTCAGAAAAGATAGAATCCCACTGAAGTGAATCCCAATCTTGATTTGACTCAGTTCACGAATAGCTGTGGGATGTAGCTCCGTGAGAGATTTGGAAATGAAAAGTTAAAGGATGAAATTGGTTTTAATAGGAATTGTCTACTTCAGTCATTTATACTGCATTTTGTGGGGCGTCAGGGTGCTGAGTGCTCTTGCCTTACTGCAGAAACATCGCCGGTTCGAGCCTGTGTACAAGGACTGAGGTGGTGTGATGGACTGACCAACTCTTACTGTAGGAGTGTGTTTTCCCCTGCTGTTGTTTTATTTGCTTCTCACGATGTAAGACACTGAAAAACCAACGATCCAGTGTCAGGGTTAGAGCAGTTCAGCAATCAGTGTTCATTCAACACAGGTAGATTGTCATTGGAGGGTAATTTTACAAGTATATGTAGAATATTCAGAGGCTATTCATGATAGTGTCTTTGTGTATATTTGTGTACATTTATCTGCATTTTGTCCTTGTGTGCGTGCTTAACGCAGCACCAGGGCCCTAGAGCAGAATGAGTTCAAGTGTATTTATTTTTAACTACCTGACTCTCCTGTGGCCGAACAGAAAGAGGAAGAAAAATGAAGAGTTGAAGTGGGCACCACAAAACATATTATAACAACATTTAACTGATCAGGAATCCAACAGCAGAGGGAGAGAAAAAAATGAGCTGCACCTGGATCCACTGCTGAGATGGCAGAGCGTGAAATAGAGCAGATGGGAAGTGAAACATGCAGAGAACATGGAAATGGAAAATTGAGTGAAATGAGGTGAAACACTGTAACACAGAGCAGAGAAATTGGACACTAACTGGTGCCAGAGTTTGTGACATTATGAAAATTAGAAACAGCTTTACAATTAAGGTCAAATGTTTTTTTTTTCCTCTACATGGCATTTTTTCCAGGTGTAAATACTGGTTGTTTTAATATTGATTTTTTTATTTTTTCGCTGGTAATGGGAGTCCATTCAGGCATCATCAGCTCCAAGCATTTCACATCTTATGCTAATATACATGTATATATATATTTATTTATGTTTTCTCGCTCCCCACTCTGCTGAAATGTTCACATCCAGTAGGTTCGTTACATTTATTCATCATCATAAAACCATAGCTCGTAGTCAGACAGTGTCTTCAAATGTACATTAAAACTCTTACTTATATGAATAAAACTTTATACAAGCACATCATAACTGTCATGTCAGGGCCAATGTGGCAGAAAGCCTTGGCCTCAGAGTCGTCAGCAGCAGTGGTTTTGGCTGGTTAAGTTGAGTGGAGTCAACGTTTGTCAGTAACCTCGCCTCCCAAACTACTGCATGCAGGATTAGTTAGTCAAGAAGAGAAATGTGGTACTTCACTCAAGTAAGACTTTGAAGATTTGACTTACCTTTAAAGAATACAATGGTTTTAATATATTGATTTCATTTTGTGTATGTTAATAAGGCAGAGAAAATTAAACGCTCATTTATTTAATTGCAAAAAGAGTTCTTCTTGAAGAGCAGACTTTAAACTGATTTTCATTACCTTGATTTATCATTTACATTTAAATTCTTCTGGAAGAACCAAAAAAAGTCTTGAAATGATGATTTAATCAAGCACAAACCTAAAGATAATCTTTGTTAGATTATCCACAATGGAGATTTAGGCGAGTCGAGTCCAAGTCACTCAAAAGAGTCTAAATTCCCAGTTCTGATGAACTTAAATGATGTTCGTCTAGCTTTCTGCTGAAAACAAAGCCTGTGAAAAATGGTCATGGTCTAATAGTCTTTTATAAACCGCTGCTGACTTCTAAATGGCTGGCAGACATATTTGCATAATTTTAAACAGGCAATTAAAAGGAGTAAATTAAACCAATTTGTCATGCAATGATTGCATTTATTTGAATTTGTGTGATTCGATATATTTGGTAGTTTGGTAGAGTATCGTTTGGAGAGTAGACTGTTACCTTTTATCCATCTTTTTCAATAATATATTTCTTAAACCTTCCAACGCCGGTGTGTTTTTCTGTCAAAGAGGGAAATACGAGTAATGTGGAGAAAACTGACGAAAAAGAAGAGAGAAAAAATGGCAAATATAATAGATAAAAAAAGGCTAAAAGGCAGAGAGAAATTTGAGGAGTTCTCACGTACATTCATTCATTCAACCCGTGAGTTTCAGCAATACACACAGATGTGCTACACAATTGATGCACTCTTTAAAGAAGTCGATGTGGCAGTCTGCCAGCGCTGTGAACACCCAGCAGAGACTCTGATTGATTAGGACGAGTAAAGTGTGTTTTCCTTGAACAAGTGACAAGCTGTGTTTTACTTACAGTTAAACTGCATCCAGTAGTGATGAGAAGGAAATGGAGAGGAAGTCACCAAGTGTAATGCAGTTTACACAAAAGATTATGGTTTTGGTGTTCACTGTCAAAGGAGCTTTTTAGAACTGAAATGTACACTAGTGCACAACATTGTATCAGATACTTGAATGGATAAGTGAATATCATGTGTAAAAAGGACAAAAATCAGAGTTGATTTCAAACATCGGAACTATATAAAGTCGTGATTAAGCCGGTAGGGGGGGCTAAAAACAACAGCTGGCTCATGTTGTCGGTCTAACAATAAATACCTAAACATGTTTACAAAAATCATCAAGAATAAAGTGCAAAACATTACAGAGCCATGTGACAGTAACAGTGGTGACAGCAGTGACTACTGTAGTTTAACTGTAATAAATTTAGCATTTTCATCTTACTAACATTTTTTATTAATATAATATTTTCTTAAACATCTCTATTTGGATTTAATTCGACTACAAAACAAATAGAAATATAGATAATTAAGTCTGTTCTCTCTCTCTCTCTCCCTCTCTCCCTTTCTCCCTCTTCGACCACTGAGCCTTATCTATTTTCCTGGACCCCGTTACATACATGACTTTGGCGTGTCCCCTGCTAACCCAGTTAACAAACACGTGTGTGTGAGTAAATGTAACTTCATCCATCTTATTAAGTCAGGCAGAGATCACAGCATGCTGAAGGAGAATCCTTTACCTTAACCTGGTTTCATTATCATCTTCAGAGTCATCCTCACAGCAGTGCACCAGTACATTATATCCTCTGCAGTTGCTCTTTTCTTTAAATGGTAAACCTTCTCACTCAATGCCTACAAGTTATTTATCCGTTGCGTTCAATTTCAGTTGAACAAAACGTACCCTGCAAACAGGGAACATCAGTGGAAATGTAACGTCTCCCAGAGAAAAGCTGCCTGAACTCTGCACTCGGTATTACATGCCTAGTGAGTTTTCACATGCCATGGTTGAGCATGACAGAGTGTCAGAGCATGTTTCTAGTCTGTGGCGGGGGGGAGGGGGGACGGGACTCTTCAGCAGGTTTCAACCTGGTTCTGTGACAGGGAAATTTCCCAGTTCTGTGGAAAAAAACAAGTTATGGCCTATTCTTGTCCCCCAGAAGAGACACTCCAGTGAGCTAATGACTAAAGACAATTTGCTCTAACATCACACTGGCCCATGGAGTGACTGCTACCTATGACCATTGGTTTGACATGCTCGCTCCAGTCTGCCCACCTGGAGGAGGTGGTCATCAATGATGACATCATTAACCTCCTTCACAAACCAGGAGGTTGATAATGGGATGAAGTTAGCTGGAAATTTCCATTAGATTCCTCCTAGTGCTTCACTGGTTCACTGATTTCTTGGATGTGGACTACCTGACAGACGGACCCTTAAATCCATAATGGTGCATTTGAGGGCCCGATTGCTGGATCAGTTACCGTAAATGTTTGAAGCAAACTCCTCGTCAGGTTCTACAAGTCCAGTGTTATTTCTGTGTTATGGTGTCCGATTAATAAGACCAGGTCACATTGATGGAGATGCAAGCACTGTAGTTTGGAGTTGCTGATAAAAAGACAGTCAAATGGAGGTGTGTGTTCTTTGGATTTTAGTTTTTAATTCTACCCAGGAGAGGAATGATGATACTAGCTAATGACTGTGTCACAGTGTTATTACCCTGCAACTTTCCTTCTTTTTTTTGTCTTTCATTTCTTTTTGTTCTGTTGTTGCTCATACGTTAAATAAGAAATAAACATTTATTGAAATGTACATTTCAATAAATGTTACTATATACATTTCATGTTTGTTATGTGTACATTCCTGGTTGGCGTGTGTATTTGCGTTGTTAAATAAATGTTACTATATACATTTCATGTGTTTGTTATGTGTACATTCCTTGTTGGCGTATGTATTTTTTTAAGTTATATATGTGGGTTGTTTATATCTGTGTAAGTTACTGGGTTCCTAAAAGTCGCCGGAGGATTAAATACCCATTCATCTAGTTATCTGTCATTATACAAGTGACGCTGATGTGCACATTAGACACGTGACACCTCATCGTAGACCTGGTCTAAGTGACATTAAATCCAAACAGTCATGTGACCTTGTCTTTGTCTTCACTGGGTTATAGCTCCAGTGAGGGGGATGAGACAAGCCATTGGTCTATCTCATGAATCAGTGTTTGTCTCTCTGTGGGTCTTGTCAAGAATGAACTAATGTCCTGCCATGACATTTGAACTGGAACTTTATAATACAGACATAATAGTGTACAATAAATGAATCTTCCTTTTGTACCAATGGAGTTAATGAGATATTTGTCCAGTGACACTCCAGTGGATTCAGTTTTTGGTGAACCTATTGGCAGAGTGCTGTTGAGTTGGCACAAAGAATACGTATATCCTTTGGTGCATACATGTTGTTGCATTTATTTTTTAATTCTCCATCAACTTTTGACTGTTGTAAGTGATCACAAAAGAGAGGAAAGGTCTCCCCTCATGTGCTGCAACCCAATCTGAAATTCTTATTGGAAAATTGCCACAATATCCTTGATGCGTGTGAATTCCCTTCTCTCACTTAAAGTGCACAGTCAACACCGGTATCAAAAAAAGACAGCTCCACTGTGTAGCCCCCGCGACTCCACCTGTCATCACCCCGACTCCACAGACTCTCACGGCCACTCTGGAGACAAAACAAGCCAATCTATCGGAGTTTCCCACAGCAGTGTCGATAACACACCACCTGTATATGCTGACACCACAAAGGCTCACACACCTGCTCCTCAGCTTCTCCTTTTCAGTCGACCTTGATACAGCATCACAGAAACACTTTTTATGTGGTTAGCCAATCAGCAGTTTTCCACAGCCAGCATCACTCTTTTAGTAAAAGTCAGCTCAGTAATTAAACAACACTCGTCTAATAGTCTCACATGACCATGCTTTTGTTATTGTGCTTTTTAAAGTTTTTACCACTACAGTGGCTCCAGCCGAGCTCACTGCTGCCGTGGAGTTCACTGAACCGCATCCATTCCCACATGACATTTTAAATATCCCTGCTGCAAGGCTTGCTGCGTGAGCGAGATTACAGTATCAAAGAGCAGCCCAATGTGTTAGTGAGGCAGCTTAATGTCCTGTTATGAATTCCCAGGTCCTGACAAACTGTAAAGCATCCAGATGCATTTTGGTCCTTTGACACTGTTGCTGGATAAATAACTTGCCGTCTCTCCTCCTTCTGCACACAACTATGGTGAGATCTCCCTATGTGTGTTTTACCTTCGATATCTGGCTTATAAATTATGTAATGTTTATGACTGATTTCTGCCAATGAGTAAACTTTCGACTATCGAAGGTTAATAAGGTGAGAGAGTGTTTAGAAATCAAAGTCCCCCAGTTTTATAATGCACCCACTAGGATTATCATGGGAATGATCTCTAGCTCTACATATTTGCATGGCGTCACCAGTCAACCAGTCAGTCAATGTTTATTAGTATTACCAGTGACATTACTACAGTAATGTAGACAACGTGCAGCAGAGCTGAGAGGCAATGAATAAAAGTTAGTCTGGAGACTTGAAAGTATGAGTGGCTTTTAGTGGGTGACAGTGACAGCAGAGAGGCCACAGAAGAAGTAGTCGGAACAAGTTGTTACAAATGCATTATTGACTTCAGAATCATTTTGTAGCAGATGAGGCGTTAGAGAGTCCAAGCTGGAAGAAGCTCCTGTTGGTCTGTCTGTCTCTCTGTGGTTAATCAGTGTTTTCACACTCACCTGTGTCCTGTGAGTCCCTGCTCGTTAGTCTTACTGGTGTCACCTGGTGCCCTGGGTGTATACACACCTCTCTCCCTCACTCAGTCTTTGTCAGATTGTTGTTCCCGGGTTCCTTGTAGATGTTGCTGAGTTCCTGCTTGGACTATGAATAAACTCTCTGCTGCTGAAGACTGTCTCCCAGGTGCTGCCTTTGGGTCCTGTCTGCCTCTGGGTTTGCTAAATATATATAGGAACTTTGAAACCACTTTCAATAATGAAAGCCAAGCCAAGTTTTTTCTTTTAGTTTTATTAGTTCGAATGGGTAAATAGGTGTAGATATCATCTTTCATTTAAAAATGTTAAAAGATGTTAAAATGTTAAAAATGCTAAATCTTGAAAGGGGAACCAGCTTTGATATTTGTTGAGGCTGAAATCAGGTTTCTGGTGCTTGCTTATTGAACCACATCATGTGTAGAGATTGGGAGCTGCAGTCCTCTCTAAAGTGACCCTGCTGATTTTTTTTATTTTTTTTATTTTATGACTGCAAGACCAAGGCCTGGCCCAATGAAGCACATAGAACATTTACAAAAAAAAAAAGATCAGTCATTGCTCACTTATATATCCTGTCCTTGAAGCTACATTGTTGTTGCATAAAGCAAATATACATTACTATAAATGTTAATATATATGGTGGATATGGTTTTCTTTTCTCTCCTCCTGTGGAGATCACTAGAACATTCCTGTGGAGCATCCTGCTCTGTTTTAAAGAGGAATATGGTGTCTGTGTATCACCCATCACCCACACTGTGTACACTGGTAATGAGTGACAGCTAATGACCATCACTGGTTTGGATCACCCTCCTCATGATGCCCTGTGCTGGTGGCTAATTGGAAGCTATAAAAAAAAAGAAGGATAGGGGGAAACGGAGAGAAGAAGACACCTCGTGTTGCGCCCTGTATGAGCCCAGCTCTGAGTGTCGTCGTTTTAGCATGTATGGACCAAAGTGAGACATGTCGCTGTGAAGTGAGGTGAAGATGAACATACTCATTTCTGCTACTAATTTCTACAAGGTCATTGCTGCAGAGATCATGAATTTGCGTATCGTCAGTACAAATGACAAGCCATATATTTTCTAATAAGGCTCACTTAGATTTCACACAGCTGTTTGCCACAATACATGCATGAATATATACGGTATGTTGTACAGCTAATATGATGCCTATTAAAACCCCATCTTACTTAAGCATTGGTTGCAGCTAACAACATGCAGCATTTTTTCCATAAAACACTGTATATTTTCCAGTTTTAATTTAATGGAATTTTTCTCTGTTTTCCTATTTTGCAGCCACAGGGATCTGAAACCAGAGAACCTGTTGCTAGATGAAAAGAACAACATCAGGATAGCAGACTTTGGCATGGCCTCCCTCCAGGTTGGAGACAGTCTGCTGGAAACAAGCTGCGGGTAAGTAAGAAACTAAATATTTGGATGCATTAAATATTCAGTAGTTTTCCTAAAACAGTTTCTTGGCAGAATGTGATTTAGATAATGCCAAGAAAGTTCTGAAGGTGGACAGCAGGAAATGATCTGTTGATACAGCTAGATCCCTGGTGTTATTTAATAAATTATCGGCTTATTGGCCAACAAACAAAACAATTTAGAAATTGTCTAACCATTGTGTTTATCAGTAAACTTGCTTTTTCCTGACATTTTCTAAATTGAAGATCCATATAATGATTACATGTATGATAACGATTGTTCAGGGTTGATTATTCTCTCTGGGTTTTTGACCTTCAGTAGGGGTCACCACGGCACTTGTTCGCATAGGGATTCAATAAACTTTTAGTCAACATGAACTCCTGACCTTACCCCTAGTATTGGGAGTTGGGATCAGTTAGTAGAATGGAACCCAGACCTAAGCCTTACTGTGACTTTGCTGACACAAATGTAATTTAAACATATATTAACAATCCAACCAATTTAAAGTTTTTCAGTTTCTTCCCACATTTCCAGCTTGTTCGTGTTCGCCGTCCAAAGCTTTGTGTGAACAACATGTGGTTACTGATTATTCATGCTCTTCTCACTGCCTCGTCTCTAAATAAAGATATGACATTTGTTAATTAAACATATTTATCTGGGCCCCTCTCACCATACAGCATGTATCCCATTTGCCACGGGTAATGGAGCTGAGTGAAGATGAGACTCGGGTCGTGTGGAGGGAGCCCTGTGGCGTGCACATAAATACATGCAGACGTACAGATATACGTGCTGTATAAATGAGCAGAGGCAGCCACATTTACAAACAAGTCTGGATTCTGGAACGTGCACAGGAAGTACTGCTGAGTCCTTGGCTGCAATGCAAAGAAAAAGCATTGGTTTTTTAGGACTTGTTAAATTTATGCCAAAATTAATATAAAAAACTATTTGATTTTACTAGCTATCCAAAAACCCATTCTAATGAAACAAGTTTGTTTTTAATGGACCTTCAATACTTGTGCTCTCTGTTGTCAGGTGGCCTTATTCAAAGCTACATTTTCAATTGCTTCAGTTGTTCTTTGTTGTCAGTAGAAGGAACCCTAATTCAGTTCTGTCCTTCTTTTTTATTCACGTGGTAGTAATGTGTAATTAGTGTTAGGTTGAAAGTCTGTAAATAACGGTTTCAACCAGCTACAGGAAAAGACTGAATTTCTTTTCGAAGGACTGAATTTCTCACTCCGATGTGATTTAATTTTACCTGTGCTACACGCTCCTATAAAAACAGAATTCACAGAGACTCTAGTTGAGGTTATTAATATAACAAAAGGCGTACATACTGTATAAGATTATATCACTTGTAGGTGACATTAGTGACAGAAACTCTCAAATATTCCTTTATTGACAAATTGGAATTCAGCTCGAAGCGCAGAGACGAGATGACTGTATTCCACTATTTACCTCCACCTTGTATTTGCCTCCTGAAGCTTTGGGCAAATAATGAGTTCATATTCGCCGTGGTCTCAGCTCTGGCTCGTGGCTCTCATGAGACGTAACTAGTGCAAATCTCAGGCTTGTTTTTATTTTTATTCCTTGCTCATCTGCATAATGCTCTGTGACATGTGCAATCAGGAGGGCTGTATTTGCAAAGGCTCCCATTTGAACTCCCTCTGTTGACACGGTGGCAGTGTTTGTTATCGGCCAGTGTTTTGACAGCCTGGAGAAGCGGGGTTGTCAGAGCTGGTACCTCCAGATACACCTTAGCAACAGGCCGCTCATGTTTACACAATTCAGATTGTCTCTCATTAGTGTGGAGCCCAATATTCTGATATATATATATTTATATATATATATATATATATATATATATATAAAGAGAGAGGGTGTGTGGGACACTGGCTGTTGCTTTGGTTAGTATCATGCTAGAAATACAGTAGTATATACAGTGGTATAATTCATACACTGTAGTTTAAGTTAAGATCCTCTACCACAAGGTGTCAGATGTGGAATAATTATGAGGTAAAATATGCAAAAGTATCATCAGTTAGCTTCCTAGAGTTTCTTTGAAAGCCTCAGTGATTGTCCTCAACAGTGATCATCAGCCTACAGTCACTCTCATTCTATTTGACAATTCAACAACAATCGAAAATCACCATTAGCTCAGTGTGGCTTGTCTGAAGCAGGCGTTCCCTCTGATCTGAAATCGAAGCCTACAAATGAATGTTGCTATTTAAGCTCCCTGTGCTTAGAGCAATCAAACTGGATGAACGACGGAAATATCCGATATGCAGTGTGCATCATTCTGCTCATGTGAAAAGGCCCGAGAATATTTTTTGTTCCATAGATTAGTAATGTAATTTTAATGTTTATTTTGATTTTGAATTTTTCCGTCCACGCACATGCACTTCTTCTTCTCTTGGTGTCTAAAACCTAAACTTCCTGTTCCCAGATATTACTGAATAAGTAACAAATCCCAAACCATCCCCTAGCTGGTTCTACTCATTCACAACTAGCGGCTCACGGAGCAGCTGTTGTGTAGTAACTTCATAAATCTTCATACGATATTGACGTGCCAATCAAGTCATCGGGCTTCCTGTCAGCCCATCCAGGTGCTGTAGAGATTAGTGAGTCTGTTGACTGTCTGCTGTGGGATGATGCCCTTGAGTGAGCGAGGAGGAGGACATCCAAATACCCCTAGGACGTCTACACTCCCCGAGCATGTCTTCATCTACGCTCACCTCAGACATATATTATGTCTGCATTGTTCCGTTCACACTTTTGTACCTGGACATTTACTGCGTGATGTTATCTAAATCTAAAGTTTCCCAGGTATATTTTATATTTGTCTGAGTTAAATTTTAATTTAAATTCAGTGTCTTTCTTTTTTTTTTTTTCTCCCAGGTCTCCACACTACGCCTGTCCAGAGGTCATAAGGGTACGGCCAATTTTGCAAAATACTGAAATTTATTCATACAGTAGCCCTGGTAATTTTTGCAAACTCTGATGTTTCTTTTCAAAACTCCTTCCTCGTCAGGGGGAGAAATATGATGGGAGGAAAGCAGACGTCTGGAGCTGTGGGGTCATTCTTTTTGCCCTGTTGGTGGTGAGTGTCATCTTGTTCCTCATCTTGTAGTGGTGCATGAACTGACCTTGACAACAGTGTTGAAATGACAAGTGATAACAGTGGGGCCCTGGAAGAAAAAAGGAAGAGTTTCCTATAGTCAGCGCTTTCTCAAAATAAGACGTATCAGTTTTTAAATTATAAATTATATTCGGAGTAAAAGGACTGGATCATACAAGTAGACACTGTGTGGTTTGGTTTATTGAAATCTCGTAAAAGAGCTCCTATTCAGTGTGTATAATGATCCATCTTTTTTTTTTCTTGAAATAACAAAATAAACAGTAATCCCTGAAAAGTAGCCAACTAATCATACAGAGTTTTGTTTTTTTAACTAAGCACCCCCCACCCCCCCGCCTTTAGACCTCCAGGCAGCCTTTTTTGCAGCCAGCCCACAGCAACAAATGAAGGGTGGCTGTTGACCAGACTTGCTTCACAGTGGAAAGAAGAAATAGAAGGGTTTGCCATTGAGCTTCAGTCACCATCAGTGTGCACTGAGTCTGAATCGTGATATTATGAAGGTCTCATTCAGAAATATGTCAGAGACACCCTCAAGCTCAATTCTGTGCAGAGGATTAAAGACACATGTATCATTTTATTCATTGTCTTTTCGCACAAACACATACACACACACACACACACACACACACTAAACCCTCCACCCATAATCAGGTGTATTCTCCAGCTGCAGGTTTCCATCCGTGCAGCCCTTAAGGTTCTTCTCATCAACAGTAGTACTGTAGTTGATACACACTCTGGCTCCATGAATAATTCGTGTAGCAAAACTAAAACAAGAGAGCCCAAAATAAATACACACACTGACAGGATAGCTTATGGCTACAGAGCCTGCGTACTTGTCTTTGGTTTTGACTCCTTCTTTCTCACTCAGGTTTTTTTTAGTTTCAAATGTGTTTACTTAAAAAAAAATGTTAGGAAAAAATCTTAAACCTGTGGTGTGGAATCCTCATGTTGATTCTGTAACAGATGCTTTTTTACACTGTAATCATTTGACTTTTTTTGTCCTGGTGTCTGCCAGTAAAATGATAAATTGTCTGACGGTTGAAAGCACCGTCATTTAGATGCTATAAATTTCCCAATTTTTGGTATTCTCTGCTTTTCTTTCTGTTTTCTTTTTTTTAAAAAACATTTCCCCATCATTTTCTCTCCATCTTGTCTTCTAATGGGGTCTGGCATTCATCAAACAGCCACATCTGTAAGGTGTCAGCCTGCTCTGATGAATGACCCTGATGGGGGGAATGTTAGATGAATGTGCTAAATGAGAAAGCGGGGTAATTATCAGAAAAGCCCTGTTTCCAGCTCGCTGCTGTTTATTATTTATTTAGCATTCAGACTCAGGACAGCACGCTGTCACTGGGAAGTTGAACAGGTTCAAAAGGCTGGTTCTAGAAGTCGGTAAGGATTAAGACTTGAGACGTGGTTTCGCTTTTATACACAACTCTGGTTGATCTTTGTCGGCCAAATAAATCAGATGTTCTTTGAAGCATGTAGATACAGTGTTTCTTTAACAGAGGTTTCTCCCTTGATAACATGCAGAAAATGTCATCAAATTCATTTTTCTTTTTGTTTGTTTTGTTTTCTTTGTCAATTCCTCGTCCCTCGTCTTTAGGGCGCCCTGCCTTTTGATGATGACAACCTGAGGAATCTTCTGGAGAAGGTGAAGTTGGGGGTGTTTCACATGCCACACTTCATCCCTCCAGATTGTCAGAATCTTCTTCGTGGCATGATTGAAGTGGATTCAGCCAAAAGACTAACGGTGAGTTGTGACTGGAAGACAAACTACTAAATAATCTGCTCTTCCTGTCTTTCTTTATTTTATTTAAGTTTTGACTGAGAGACTTTTGGATGGTGGTTTTTCAGATTAAATTACATTACATTTGTGCATTGTTTCCCAAAGACTGGCTCGCGACCCTCAGGTGGGGTTTTTTTTTTTTGGGTCATCTTGCATCATGTTTTCCAGGAGTTTACGAATAATGTCTATTGACTTGGGTCACGAAGGTTTGTGAATTTTAAAATATGGGTACCCATAAACAAAGTTTGGGAGACACTGCATTAGTGTATACTTACATACAGTATTACTGTGTCGGATCAACGGACTCGCCCTCTGCTGGTTCCAGTCATACCTTTTCTCTTCATTCTTTATCTTTGACACCATAGTGGCCTTTGTATGCAGAAAGATACCAGATTAATGTGCCTCAGGCTCAAGCTGACTCATTTCATCTCTTCCCTACTAGAATGTATACACAACGTCAGCGTGTGGATGGCACTGAACTTCCCACACTTTAATGGGAAGAAAACCAAGGCTGCTGTGTTGTTCCTCTGACTCCCCATCTGTTAACCATCTTAAAACTAGTCACAAACTTCTATCTTGGAATTTGAACTACAAATCAAACTAAGCCCATTCTGTCTAGGTCAGATCTAGAAAAGATAATCCATGCTTTTTTATCCCTGCACTGCTAGATTACTGCAAAGCCCTGTGTAATGGAATAAGCCATATATATCTCTCTCCCTCATTTACAACTTGTTCAAAAACGCAGCTTTCCGTTTGTTAACAGGAGCTCCAAGGCAAGAACGTACAGTGTTACTACTTCACTGGCTCCCTCTGCCCTACAGGATGATTTTAAAACAGCCCTGTGGATATATAAATGCCTGACTGGTCCTGTGCCTTCACGCTGTCTAAGATCAGCTGACCCGCTCCTCTCAGTTGACCTGAAGACCAGACTCAAACTCACAGGGGATTGGGCTTTTGCAGCTGCGGCCCCTAAACTCTGGAACAAGCTGCCTGTGACCATGAGATGGGCTGGATATCTCCATATATCAAAATCTCATTCAAACTCATTCAAAAATGTTTTTTTTTTGTATTTCCTTATTTAGATAGTTGCTTTAGATCTTAGTCTAATAATTAGTTTAATAATGTGCAGCAATTTGTTTTAGATGTTGTTTTTAAATGTGGATAGATTTAACAGAAAGAAGTTTCCTTGCAGGTGGATATCAAACTCTTTCAGAAAGTGTTCAAGGAGCAGGAAGTACATCTTTGCATAAACACATACAAAGATATTCATTCATGCACAAAGGCAGAGGGAAATGAGTTTACTGTGGAAAACTTGTGCAAAACTTACATGAGAGAGTACAACGGAACAAGAAACTTCCAAATTTGATTAGGTGATGATTATCAACTCGGCACTGGCGAACAACTGTTTTATTTGTGTGCACCATTGTGCTCCAAATGTGTTTTCTTCACCTACAATTCCGTTTGAGTTCCTCTTCAAGTGCAGGCCTTGAATTCAGCCGAGGACGGCTGTGAGTGTTCTATCTCTCTGCTGCACTCTTTAGTGCAGCTCATCACAACGCCAAGCCCTTCTTGCCTGGTTACAGATCACCTTGGAGAGGTGGCTGATGCGAGTACAGAAGCACAGAGGTGTGAAGGGCAAAGAGTCAGGAGAGCGAGGGGGGGGGGTCGAAGAAGTGTGAATAATGTAGGCGGTCAGAGATCTCAGTAGAACGCAGAAGGATGGTTCTCCTTTGTTCTTGTCCTGTATTTCACATTCAGATAATGCATGGGGTTGGTTGGTTGGTCGGTTGGTTAGTTTTGGTTGGTTAGTTGGTTTTGCTTGGTTGGTCGGTCGGTCGGTTAGTTGGTTTTGGTTGGTTGGTTGTTTTTGGTTGGTTGGTTGGTTGGTCGGTCGGTTGGTTGGTTTTGGTCGGTCGGCCGGTCGGTTGGTTGGTTGGTTGGTCGGTTGGTTGGTCGGTCAGTCGGTTGGTTGGTTGGTCGGTTGGTTTTGGTTGTCAGAAGTGTTTATACATTTGCCTTTTAAAAAGAGGCTCCTTCTCCATGTCAGAGGGACTTGTGTCCAGAAGGTCACGGGTTTGAATCCAGGCCCCACTGAGGTGCAGTGAGCATGGCATCATCCCAGCACGTGAAGGGTTAAAGGAAGATGTCACAACTCATTGTGTGCAGTGCCGTGCTGTGTGTCACAATGAAAATAAACCACTTTTACTTTTTTCACATTCATCTCTTAGCTGTCATTTTATAATATTCAAAACTTTTCGAAAACTTTTTCAGAGCTATTGCATCAAAACTCCTCTGAACTTTAAAACACTTTAATTCCTAAAAACAGATAATCTTATGAAAAAGTAATCGAATTATGACAAAATAATGTTTTAAAAAAATTCTTAGTTTGGCATAAATAAATAAATATAGGATCTGCTTTCTCCCCTTGCAATAACTCTCTGCCCATGGGGGTCCACCCCCTACTTTGGAACCCCTAGTTCATACTTTAGAAAATCTTATAAATAATATGCCAACAAAAAGATGCTGCAGAGATGCTGAGGTATAGAAAATATTACAGCCTAAGAATTCTCACAGATTTTGGTAGATTAATAACCACTGATTACCTAATCTGAATCCCACTATAGTTTATTACATTTTTTTTTCCACTTAATAAACCTAATCATGCTCGTATTTGGACTGGAGTACAAGTACCTGCAATACTCCATACACAGTAATATAGTCAGGTACATCTGCTGAGCATTAACTAGCCATTCAGTCATTTAAAAGAAAGCCTAAACATTTGTTTCTTATATTGTCACCTGAATGGAGCCTCAGAAAAGCACTAAATGTTAAAACCTCATCAGTTAGACTCCCCCTCTTTGGTATGCTGTATGCTATGCTGTGCTTTCTGCTCCCTCTACCTGATGAGGACAGGTCACCCTGAGATCCCCCGGATAAGTCCAGCAGCCTCCAGCGCTGTCCTTGACAAAGAGTTACACAGGGACAGAACTGCGGAGAGAGAATATGGTACCTGTCTGATGTCCTCCCAGGCATGAGCACTCCAAACAGAGCTCGGGGGAAGTGTTGTGAGCTAACGGAATGTCAAATAGCCCCGCTACATTAAGCATCCTCTGAGTTTGGTCGTGTCTTTGGATGAAGACAAGAAGGCACACTTGAGGATTGTGAAGACTTCATGAAGAATGATGTGCTTTCAGTATATCTGTGTATTTGTTTTTCCCCTTAGAAAGATGAGAGTTGTTGCTGAATTAAATCAATAGAGTAATCAGTCCCTCACTGGGCTATTAAATGTCTGTGGTCATCATTAGTTCATTCCTCTTTTTAACTAAATGATTTAAAGGCAGCTGTAATATTCCCCACAGGCAGATCAATTACAAATGTTGTATTGAAAGTCTTAAAGTGTGTTTTGTTTCTGGCCCAGTTAAATATGAACATATTCACAACCTAAAGCCAATCACTGTGAAAGGCAGGAAGTTAAAGGACAGAGTTGTACGGTGAACTGGGACCACTGTGTGACAAAAAAGTACGTTTACAAGAATAAAGTCATTTGTTCAAAAGAATAATGTCATACGTTTTCAAAAATAAAGTCATAGGTTTATGAGCTCGAAGTCGTAAGTTTAGATGACGTGCTTTGGGGGAGATGAGAGAAAAGCACACAGCGTTAACCGTTAGTGATTCAGAATGAGTAACGTGGTACATCTTGTGAACTTATACTGCAGTATTGGGTTGTCAAACATAGTTGTACTTCATCTTCTGTCTCACCATTATCACATCACCATCACTAGCATCTGACTTATTGCTCATCTTTTTTCATTTATACTTACGTTATAACATCTCATTTACTTATGATTTTATTCTCGGCGGCATAACATCTCATTTACTTATGATTTTATAAGTAAATACATACTGTAGATAGGTGCGCCCCCCCCCACCCACACACACACACACACACAGACACACACACTGATCTCCTGCAGACTGTACTTGCAGCAGCAAACCGCCGCCTCCCTGAGTGAAAGGAGCTGGAATTGGAAGTGTCACATTTAGAGACTGATTGATGTGATACTGCATTTCAGACCACAGCACATTTAAGCCTCCCTGTGATATCAGTCTCTCGCCTCCAGGCCTTCAATAAAAGTCGGTGGGAGTAGGTCACCCACTGGTCTGTATCTGACAGTCAGGGTGTCTCGGTCAATACAGTGACCTCTGTGGAGACGGAGGAGAATCACCTAGGCTCAGTAGTCTTCTCTTCTTTCTCACGTCACATGTTAATACATGTACAGATGGATGCTATTGAACAGGCCATAAGTGACGATGATTAGAGCTGCCGTGTCTGTATCTCATGCTCCCAGCACAACAACAGCAGGAACAAATTAAAAAGTCCCTGAAGTGACATCGATCATGTTTGTCCTCTGTGCGTTGTTCAAACATGAAGTGTTTCAAGTAGATCTTTTCCGTTGTTGCTCTTTTGCTCACATCTGTGTCAATTTGTTTTTTAAATACCTGGAAACGTCCAGTGTTGACGGCTGTGTCTGTGGTAAAGTGTGATGATCACAGTAGTCAGGAATGATGTAGGAGAGAGGATGTAGAGACTGTCATAATATTGTGATGTTCTAGAAGAGAATGTAGTAAACAGTTGTCATTTTCTGTAGTGTTTACACATTGTACTTTACAACAGTCATAGTTTAGTTATTATTACCAGCTCAGTGACATGGACAATCAATCCATGTTTAATCCCAGTCGTTCCTAAACCTTTTTTTTACTTGACATCACAAATGTCTGGCGAGCCCAGAGACATTGCTTTCAGTCATGTGATCGCAGTCTTCAATCAAGATGCTCCAGCTCAGATATTTTTATATTCTGCATTTTATTTAAACACTACTCATATTAATGAACTTGAAAGAATACAGATTCTATGTGGTATTTTTGATAAATTTTAAAAAGAAGAATTCATTGTTAAAAACATTGTTTTTATCAGTACTTTTCTAAAACTGAATTATTTTTTTCCCTCTATCTGTGTGCTGCTGTGGCTGTGGCCGCAGTTACAGTCTCCATTTATCAAACCTCAAGTCATTTACAGGTTTATTAGATCACGCAACAGACAGTGTGGTTGGCAATAAACACGTGAGATTGCTGGAATTGTACCGTCTGTCAGTGCCTGAAGAGAAATGGGAAAAGAGTGGGAATGGGAGATTCCCCTCGACCACAGGGCTTGGAGAGGTCAACAGTGTGTGTGAGGGAGATAATATTGTGTGGTTTGAGCTCAGTGCTGTTACCTCTCTCCTTTTTTTTCGTTGCTCCTCTTTGTGTCTCATCTTCTTTTCCAATATTTTCCTCCACTGTTTGCAGCATTAATATTTGAAGACTCTAATTTATTTACCTTCACCGACTAAATTGTGCTGTTGCTCTCTGCTCAACCAATAAGCTCAAAGAAACGTACTGGCTGCGTTGCACAAGCAGTTCAAACAAACACCGTGGTGCCTGCAGTTATTATTTTTAACCTGCAGCAAAGTAGAACTTGTGTTTATTTAAGGTAAAATTTCAATATGTGCCTCATGTACTAATGACATTGTCTTGTGTTTCTTACAGTTAGAACAAATCCAGAAGCACACGTGGTACATGTAAGTACTAATTACCTTTTTCTTTTAATCAGAAATCAAAGTCTCTGTAATACGGTGCACGTGCCTTTTACAGCTAACATTAATCTTTTATGGCCATTTGTGGCTTGTAAATGAGTTGAGTTTCATACGGTGGATATAAACTACGAGTTCTGATGATGGAGGATTTGAACAAAAGGCATTAAACCTTGAGATGTTTTACGTGGCCTGTTATCTTCACTAGTATTTGATCAGATTTATTATGTACTGCGTCAGCTCTTTTGGACAAAAACCTACTTGGAAAGCGTTGAAAATATACTTCGATGTAATTCAGGCACAACTGTATGTGTGAATATGCTGTTGGTGTCATTGTTGACACAAGTCATATTCTGGAAAAAAAAACCCAGTACACAGTTCAGACACAGTTCTGCTGTACAATACATATCTGCGCAGAAAACAACGGAAATATATGTACAATTTGTCCAAGTCCAGTGGACAGCTGAGACAAACTGACACAAACTGAGACATTGTTTATATTTTCTGATTCATTCACTCGAAGAGTTACTCCAAAATAGACGACTCACTTTTACCTTGACTTGACGTTGAAGAAACATTTGTTCATAAAAGAAAGCCCAAATAGTTGGGCAGTTATCTTGCCTGTCTTACACACAGAAGGTTATTATTATTAAATGACCTCTCTCTTTTGGATATGCATCAGTGTGTGCACAGTTATGTGTGTGTACATTAAAGATATGAAGTGTAATGGAATGTGTATATCACTGAGAACCTTGGGATATCCTCCAGAATGTAGTTTAGTGTATATCCGTTCCAAATAAAGAGCAAAAATGTTGGTGTGCCTGTGTGAAGACTGACAGAACTGGCAGAGAGGAATAAGTGGAATAATGATTTTTAAAACAGGCTGAAGCGTAGGAGTGAGAATCATGATTCACTCGTCTGTTTTTTTCATCTTAGTTATCATCATGACTACAAAATCTCTTCAGATGTCTATTTGTAAGAAGAAGAAAAAACAGGAAGAATTATGATGAGGAACATGGAGTACTGACAGGATCATCATGACGTTAATAAACAAAATCCACGATGGCTTTTTACCTACTCACCCTGACCAGCAGGGCGGCGTGCTAAAGGTATGCAGCAGTTGTCGAGGTCTGTGGAAAAGAGAATTTTCTTTGAGAGACAGAGCCACTCACTGCGGTCACCGTACACTGCTGTGAAGGAAATGAGCCTGCAGGGGGCACACTGCCACGAAAGCCCTCCTCATGGAGACCTGTTGTTCTTGTTTTAAAGTTGTTGTTTTTACACTGTGTGACCACAATTTCTGTAAAACACATTGTACTCTTTGTTTTCCTTATTTAATATTTACATCCATAGAGGCTAGTAGTTTTTATATGATTTTTCAGATAATTTAGGGAATGATTACATTGTCTATATTCACATGCTCCTTTTTCTGTTTCCAGAGGAGGGAAGAATGAACCAGAGCCGGAGCAGCCCGTGCCCAGGAAGGTGACCATTCGCAGCCTGCCCTCTGCAGATGATATTGACCCCGACGTACTGGACAGCATGCACTCCCTGGGCTGCTTCAGAGACAAAAACAAGCTGCTAAAAGACCTTCTGTCAGATGAGTGAGTGACTGAAGGTGCAAAAGTGAAGGTTGGAGAAGAGAAAGTGCCTTGACAAAGGAAAAAGAAAAGCCCTGTGAGAAAGAACGGCTGTGGTCAATAACAGTGGCTGTGGGAAGAGCGATGAGCCGAGTCAAAGACGGCAGTATAAGGATGTGTACATCATGTCAACAGATGGAGAGTCGGCTTTTTCCCCTCAGCTCCTCTGAAATCACACTCAGTTGTCTTCTCAGATAAACTGAAACTAAATATCACACAGCAGTGTTTGGAGGTAGTTTGAACCACATGCTAAAACAAAACACCTCAACTTTGTCATGTGATAAACCTGCTCTGACCTTAGGTTGGTTACTTCCTGCTGCTTTTGCTTGTTATTAGCATCTTTTCAGGCGCCCTCCGCTGTAATGATGTGTTTATGTTAAGGACACTCAGACCGCAGTCATTCACACATTATCTCCTGTTTCACATTTCCCCAGTGGGTTAAACTATCGTTCTCTCCATCTTCTTCGTTTTTCTTCTATTCTCCCAGGGGGAAAGCACATAATTGTGCTGGACTGAAGGAAAATGTCCCAGCTCCTACCCCCCATCCCTACTTTATTTTTTTTGCTGCAGTTGCAGGTCCTTGTCTCTTTGCCTCCTACTGCTTTCCAATCTGTCTTTATTATGGAGGGCCAATCCTTTGGCTTTTTGCATTGAGAATTCTGGCCTAGAGGCTGAATACATTAGTCACTCTTTGCTTTACTGTGGAAGATAAGAACAAACTCATAATGTTTCAATACTTTTTCACAAACTTACCAGCTGATGCTGCATGATGCTGTGAATACCATAAAACATAGTTCTGTGCCTAGGTCTGAAGGAGCCTAACAGATCTGATAAGGAATATAATATACATTAATAAGAACAACATTCAAGTGACTCTTTGATTTTTCTTCCTGAGCAAGGATTAGGTCAGGGTTTTCCAACCTTGGGTCCACGACCTCCTGTGGGGTTGCTGGAAATGTTGAGTAATTGATTAAAAATAATACTGAAAAAAAAAAAAAAATTTTTTTCAACCATTTATTATTCTTTTAAATTATGATTAAACACACCAGTCTCAAACAACTGTATTCTTTCACTTATGACTGTTCCTGCATGTTTCAAAAAGCTTCTTGTCTCATTACAGTGAAAACCAAGAGAAGATGATCTACTTCCTGCTGCTGGATCGTAAGGAGAGATACCCAAGTCAGGAAGATCAGAACCTTCCTCCTCGCAATGAGATTGGTAAGGAGTGAAAGAAATAAAATACAAGTAAAAAATGCAACCATGCACTGAGCAGAGGAGTAAAACTCACTGAGACCATGTCTGTGTAGGATGTGTGCATGTGCATGTGCTGTGAACTGCTGACACTTTGATTAATAGACTTCCTCTTCAGAAAATGTGATACAGTCAATACAGTGGTCATTGGTCCAAAGTCTTGACACATGCTATGGTTCCCTCAGGCAGTGGTTCTCAAAGTTAGGGCTGGGCCCCCTTAGAGGTGTAGAAATATTGCAAGGGCGAATTCATGAATGTTTGAATATTTCATATTACTACTACAGTGGGGGAAATATAATGGTGTATTGGTGTATTTAAGTTTAAATATAAGCTGTATGTTAGCCAGAAATAAATTATGACTAATCATGATTAATCATGATGGAGATTAATTAGCATTCTTTTATATGTACGTACTGTATATATACTTTTTTTTCCCTGTGAATTGAAAAAATAAATAAAACTAAAAAAGCAGCAGGTGGATGTATGTGTTTCACACCTGTGTATGACCAATCCAAATAATGGAATTACTAATATGCAAAAACATCAAGAAAAATTAACAAAGGTGAGCCTCAGAATATTATTATATATATTATTATATTATACTATTCGTGACACGATTCATACATTCATTAACTTTGACAGCCCTGGTTCAAACCAATAGATACCAATGTCTCAGCATTTGTTTCTCGGCAAAACGTTGTGAAACCACTGATGTAGCTGTGGGTTTATGACTTGTCTGTTAGTAGTTCATCTCCATGACCTTCGTTTTTTTTTTCCAAAGATCCTCCAAAGAAGCGAGTAGACGCTCCCATGCAGAACCGTCTCGGTATGAGGAGACCAGAGAGGAAATCCATGGAGGTGCTCAGTGTTACAGATGGAGGCTCGCCTGTGCCAGCCAGGAGGGCCATTGACATGACACAGCATGGACAGAGGTTAGCCCGCAGATGAAACAAAGCATTCTTAGCTATAATGATATATTTTTTTAAAGTAATGCTTTAACTAACTTGAAAATGACCAGGAGTTGTGTTTAATGTAGATTTTGTATAAATAATACTCACAATTTCCAATTGCTGCGTAATGTAATGTATAGTAATGTATTGATCATGATCTAACAGCAATCGAAACACACATGTACCTTAAATGGATATAATCAGAGTTAAGGTAAACTACTTTATTTTTAGAACATTATTTTTCACAAATTCAAGGACGTCTTTTGGATCAGCCTATTTACATTGCACGACATTTATTATCTTCATTTCATTCAAACAAAGGCTGCCATGTTTTAAAGCTATCACGCCGAAAGAAAAAGAAGAAGATACTCAAAGTATTTGAGTTTGTGGGGATCACTTTACATACTCAAAGTATTTGAGTTTGTGGGGGAAAAAAACCCATAGTTAAAGTCGAGCATGTGTGTGCACGTGTGTGTGTCTGTGTGGCGAACCTCTCACCCACTGTGTGTCAGAAGGTCTGACGGTGAGTCCGGCTCTCCTGTCAGCAGCCGACAGTGTGAACAAGCATAGACAGAGACTGACTCTGTGCTCGCTTTGTCTTCTGTTTCACTGTAGTAAATCTGTGTACACTAAAAGCTTGGATATTCCTGATGCCAGTCCAAAATGCAACAAAGAAGGAAGGTATTCACTTGTCACTCACTCTCCACGCTTTTCACCTCCTCTTGCTACATGTCTGGCCCTCATGCAAGGAGATGTCTGTGGCAGAGAAAGATGCAGTGAAGCTTTCTGTCACTAGTGTCGTGCTAATAGTTGGAGACGAAGGCAGCATGTGTCTATTAACATCTCCCTTTACAACCGATTAATATTCCACTGCAGGATTATTGAGAGTCATCAGTTTTAGGGCAGCGCCTCCTAAAGTTTACATTACTGTCTTAATTAACTTCATTTAAAATGCAGGAAGACTGGATTTGCAATTCAAAGTAATAATCGACATCCCTGTGCAGCCACCGCCGCTCTCTTCCCCAGCGTTAACTCAATTATCTCTAGCTTCTTCCACACTGTGCCCCACTTTCTCAGGGACATTTCTCCATTTGTATCAAGAACCACACCTCAATAAGGCAACACTGGGCTGATTTAAAAAAATAAAATAAAATACTGTACCCCTCCAACCCCCAGCCCCTTCTTATTACAGCACTCAATAAATCAAAGCACTCAATATATCATCAGCGACTCAGTATATCACCACGCTGCACGTTTCTGCTCACAGGCAGTGACATTTTTGACAGCAGTTTAGATTGAATGTAATAATGTGATCTACCAAATGACAGGGAGACTGGCAAAGTACTACAGTAACATTTCCAAATGCCAGAGGTTCTGAGTGTGTGACTATATAGATACTGTATATTATAGTGTTTTTATAACAGTGTCCGACAAGTCGTCGCCCCGCAGTTTGTTCTCAACACCCAGGTTTAAATTCCACTTTAACGTGATGTTGGACATAAGATGCTCCACTCTCTGTTCCCTTCAGGTGATTCAGGCCTCCTCTCTTCTATATTCAACGGTTGCCCTTGTTCAAATGCTGCCTTCCTCTGCCCTCCTTTTTCACTCTGTTCCAGCCAGGTCCAGCCACCGTATACATGTCGTTTGATTGATTCCGCTGAGCCGTACCAATAACAGCATTCACAAGAGTGCACCATGAAGGCGAGTTTGATTGATTCCGCTGAGCCGTACCAGTAACAGCATTCACAAGAGTGCACCACGTATCAGACTGAACCTTCATTCAGAATACCTGTACAAATATACAGTCAAGTACAAGGACGCTTCTAGATAAAAGCATGTTATGTATTTTCCTGTTTGAATTCAACAGTTATAGTACGAGCTGCAGTGCATCTTTCTCGTATGTGGCTTAACAACGCTATTTATATGTGCCTTCATTGCTCTCTCTCATCAGCGTCTCCTCATCCGTCCTCTGACATGTCCTCTCCCTCAGTCTCACTGTCTCTATCTTCCTGCTTTATTTGCAGCTGACCTTCAGTCCCAAACGCGACCTTTTGTTTGTATTGAATTGCTATGCTAATGTGGAAATGCTGCTGTAAGTTTTTCACTTTACCCTACCTCCAGATGGCACCCTACTCCATTTTCACCACAATGCTATGACAGTAAACCAGCCGATCCTTTATGGGGAAAAGATGTGTGTGTGGATCTAAAAGATGTTGCATCTTTTAAACCTCTCCTTCTTATGATCACATATTTATGTGCATTTTTGATGGTGGGCCTAGGGGTATGAGCGCGTCAACAGACAACGGTGTTCAGGACTGATACGCAGTAGAACAGCATCCAAAGCTCTGACTGGGAACTTTACCTTATCTAGACCAGAGGGTATCTGTCAGTGTAAAAGTTGTGGTGGTAAAAATAGTATTTTGTTGAATACAAACTATATGCTATAATAATAAGGCGTATCCTGTGTTGTGGCATCATGTGCCGTGTGAGCTCATCAGGTGTACCGCGGAAAATTAAGCAATTTGACTTAATTGTTCTGAAAACTATTATTCATTTACTCCATATAAATATCCTTCAATCATCGATGCGACATAGACAGGCAGAACAATGAACTATTCTTCCATTATATAGTAGCAGATGATATAAAAACTAAAAGAAAAGAGAGACTCGGAGCTGTTAAAGAAGATCTTTGTGTGTGTCTTTCTTCAATTCCTGCGAACTTTACATTTTTAGGTTCAACTAAACAGTCCCAGATAAAACACAAAGTAAATTGTAAGTAAATTGAAACTAGACCATCATATTATCTTTCCTTACATATATATTTTTTATGTTTTTTGTGACAGAAATATGTGCTGGGTTTGGGAAAGTAACTTTTTGTTTGAGGTGGAATTTAATGGTTTGAAATAAATTTTTTAGTCCCCGTGGTGTTAAGAAACACTCACGAGGACGCTAAGCTGTAATTGCCTTTTTCGGTCTTTCTCTTGAAAACCATTTTGAAATGTGTATAAACTCAAAGCATTGGCAATGTTAGTCATCGGAGTTGTAATTTCTTAGAGAAATAAAGCAGTAATTAATATATTTATGGATATTTTTTTCTCCAGGTCATAAGATAGTGATTGGTTTCTGTAGTCTGTACTGTATAGTTGTAAAGACAGAGGATGTACAGTAACACTACACGTGGAGTACTCGAGGTGTCGTCACAGCTCGCAAAAGGAAATACATTTAATACATTTGAATATCAACCCCCTGCGTTTGAACTCAGACAAAGTTACAATGAAGGGGAAGAAAGGGAAAAGTGAAATTTTGCCTTTGCTCCAAACCATGTTAGCACAGTGCATGCAGCGTGATATTGCACTGGCAGACTTATTCATTTGCCTTTTGACACCTTTTCATTTTGCCTCACTTCCTTTTTATTTCAGTCCATGCCCTCACCTGGGCTCCCCTTGTACTCCCTCCATTCCCCACAGTTTTTACATTAGACCCCCACAGGTGCTTTGGATGAGTTTCTGACATGGAGACGTGGGGCTCACTCCAAATTAGGATAATGCTAAGGTTAGCTCGGGGACTAATGGACGGTAGAAAAGGACCCAAGTTGGTAACAACACACATCAATGCACACACATACCAGGTGCAGGTACACGCTCACTCTCGGTTTTCTCCTGTAGATATCGTGCAAGGAGTTTTGGTTTTATTTCTCAAGGCTTTATAATAGTTGTTTAAACTTTACAGCCTTTTCGTGTTTTTACTGCAGCAGAGATCCACAGCTTCTATTGAAGTACACAGTAAAAGTCCAATATTTCTACCAAAAGAATGGCTGTAGTACCAGTTTATATGCAGCACAAAGTTATTCATTTGAATGTATTATTGCAGTAGTTGAGTCACCGACAATGCCAAGTGTGTAAAATGTATACGTAACAAGTAACTAAACTATTAAAGGTCAAAGATTTAAATTGTCCCCATTAGAAAATTGGAAGAGAGAACTGACATTTAGGTCATTAGTCAGAGATTCACGCTGAGTGTAAAATTAAATACACAGTGTTTAGACAAGTGCAAATACAGACAGCCTTTCATTGTGAAAATAAATGAATATTTAACTAAATGGAAAGTCTGAACAATGGCAGTGGTCTTAATGAAAAACATCATATATGTTATTTTTTATGTAAGTAGAATAGTACATTTTTCATTCCAAAAAAAAAAAATTCAATTATATTTTACAAAGCCTTATCTAAAATAATAAATAATTGAAAAATAATTAAAGCAAAGACACAGAGTTAATCACAGATTTCCAAGCTGACTCCTGCAGCTTGTCTTCTTCTGATTAATTAACTTGGCCTTGTTTCCATAGGATACATGACAACTGGTTGCCTGGTTATGCTGTTCACTGTAAGTGGTGTGTTCATTATAAATAATTCATCATCTCTGTGAGACACTACATTACTATATGGCACAACCATCTGAAACATTAGCTCCGTCAACCTGCTTTCCCTGCTCCGGCAGATGCAGCATGCCTCTTTTAATATGTTGGTAATGGCCTAAGGACGCTGCGATTTGGCTACGTCTCAATTAGGCGCGATTGGCAGTGTGTGGACAAGGGCAAGTGAGCAACTGTGGGTATGTCTCCACGGACCGAGGGACTTGAATGTAAATTCCATCAACTCTATGTAACAGGGAGTCTTAGCCAGCGTAGCCCAGGCATCGCCCACTCATGTTTGCATGAGTCAGTGCAATAAATACACTCACAGGAGGGAAGTGGGAGAGTAACAGAAATAGTCCAAGTGTGGGTTGTTCTAATATTTCCCTTTCTCTCATGGCAGCTGTAAGCATTGCTTGTCTTCGTCTTTGTTTGTGCGTCTGTTAATCCCAGGAGAGACATTCTCGTTCTATTATTAGTTCTTTATTTAGACACAGCCCCACTCTCTTTTTATGGCCACTGTTTTTACACAGTTTTTTGTGTCCATGTATGGACACCACTGTGGTCCCACCGGATTGAGCCAATGTTAGGAAGGAACATCAGTCTCCATCATCCCTACAATCTTCCATCCCTTCAATCCTCCCTCGTTCCTCTATCACTCTAAATTCCCCCATTCTCCTCTCACGTGTTTTCACCAGGCCCCTCAATCAAACACTAGCTGTCTGCACTAGAGAAAACAGGTGTCAACGCTCAGCCACATGTTCACGGATGCATTATTGCTAAAATGAGGAAAAGAGCCAGGCAAAGGAATGGTGGTGTTTTTATTATTAGCTCGAGTGACGATAAGGAACAGCGCTGTGACAGTAAGCAGCTGGGGTTTCTGGGTGTTTGACAGGTGCTGTTTTTCGTGCGGTAGCGTACATGCGTGGTTGATGGAGACAGATTGTCCTTTGATTGTTCCCTGCTTAAAGGAGTTATTGACAGCATCTGCAGGGAGGGAAGAAAAACATGACAAACGGCTCTCAGCCAAATGTTCCAGTTCATTCTCCCCATAGATATTTCCCATTGATAGAGGTGAGCAGTAAAGGCCATCAAAAGTCAACAGCCAATGGAAGACCAATGTTTGCCTGTGGTCGAAGACTAGAATAGAAATGACAAAGTTGCTCGCGGGTGTACTTCAGTTGAATGAAAGCTATAACTATGGATGTCCGATAATATCGGTGGGCCAATATTATTGGTGTGATATTAGCATAATTAGGTGATATTAGTAAGTAATCATTATTGGTTTATCCTCCGATAATGAAAATCCGACAACACAATGCCTAGGTTTTGCCAGATTTGCTGGAATTTGATCAGACGTTTAACTCAGTTTTGGGGGCAAATGGCTGCAAATATTGATATCTGATATTAAGTGTTTGGACAATAACAACTTATCGTATATCAGCAAAAAGTTGATATTGGACATCCCAAGCTATAACCAAAATGTATCATCTTCATAAACGAATTGGACCAAGAAATATATTTTTTTTATTTATTAGTATTTGCCACAATAACTATAACTATCAAATGACTACCATGTTTCTGATTAATCACAGGGTAGTGGAATAATCATGATTAATTGTGATTATTGGTAATGAATCTTCTATCACGACAGCTGTAGATTTACTTGCTCTGCTCTCATTGATGCTGGTTTGGTGCTGGGCGTATGACCAAAAGTTGCAGGTCCCGCAAATGCATGCTGGGCGTTGAGATAGTATTTTAAACTGCATGTGCTTTGCTGAACAAAAGTGTTTTTCGACAGGTTGTGCAAAAAATGTGTACTGGAGCGACAATAAGTGGATGGAGAGTGGAATTAAGGAATATAAGGTGCTGGTTTACAATGGATTAAAGATATTAATCTTAACAAATTAATGAACCATGAACGCATTCATTTTGATAGCCCTAAATACAACGTTCAAAACAGGTAACAGGGACAGGAGTGAGAACTATTCTAATGAAGTTCAGTGAAATCCACACAGTATAATATAGTAATGTTTAGCAAACTCCCAAATTAGTATTGAAGTACAACATGCTTTGGTGTTGGAAAAGCAAATCCTTTTTTGCCCTCATCACGCCTGAAATCTCAGATATAATTGAGCATGTGGCTTGAAGGTTTAAAAAAAACCCAACTTATTTATAATCATCATTCATTTGTGGGTTTGGGGATACTGAGCTCCCGATTGTTAGTTCACACAAGTTGTTAATACTGTGGAATGGAAGTGTGCTGTGAACGCCGGAGTGCATTTTCCCATGATCCAAGTGCAACATTCAACCTCTCACCTTGAAACATCTTACAGACACACATGTTGATCCAACTAATTATCTCTGTTTTTTTTTCTGTTCGTGTTTGTTTGTGTCACAGGTCACGGTCTATCAGCGGGGCCTCCTCTGGCCTCTCCACCAGCCCCCTCAGCAGCCCACGGGTAAGTCAGAGCTGCAAGATGTTCAGTTGTTCAGCTACAGTAACAATAACTGTCCAGCGAGTCGATCAGCGAGTATTACTGACATTTTATTGCCATTTACTGACACTTTAGCATGAGAAAACTGCAACGTAGTACATCACCAGTACTTCACTACTACATCTGATATGCATTTGGCAACTGATACAGATATTGATACTGTATTTTTAAACCCAATAAAATATGTGACAAAAACTGGCCATTTAACAATTTTAATATGTTTTTATATCATATTGGGCATAACAAATGACATCACTTTATTTCTACTCAATGTAACCTAAATAGTTTAACTACTATATTCAGATGAGATATGATATATAAATACTGTGGCATCGATTCTCACATCACTTGTATACAGTGTAATATGCTCTTCATATCAGGCTTCGTTTGACTTTTGACTTCTTTTGCAGACTTTCTCGCCTACAAAGCCTTGTATTTCTGTGCTTTTGGGTTGTTGTTGTTTTTGGGGTTTTTTTTTTCTGGTTTCTGACAAAGTTCTGATACAATCCGGCTCAGAGCCTGCTTCAGAAAATCTCCTTTTGCCTCCAGAGCTGGATCCTTGCACCTAACTCTTCCTAGCCAACTAACATGCAAAGCCTTGAGATTAGCAAGGATTCTCAGACAAGCTTCTAACATCACATAGATTTATTTGAGGCTCATCTAAAAGGGAAATTGATTTCTTAGACCTATCCAAAAGCTCCATTGTGCTCTCAGCGTGACGCCCCGGTGTGAGACTATTTTTCTACATAAATGCCAGAAAAAGGGGGAAATCTGGAAGAAATCAACTGTTAAAGATCAAATTGATGAATTCACCTCTCTGGGAATATGAAATTTCACATCAAAGTTTCCTAAGTGGTATTGTCTCTGTTGGTGGGACAGAGTCATTTGTCCTCACAGCTGGCCTTGTGTCTCATACGACTGTATCTGTGAGCTGTTCATTATCAGCTCTGTAGGGTTTTTTATTATTATTGATCACATTTGGTTTGCTTGTTTTTTTTTAGAATGTATACATTGTTAATTTTTTTTTTCACTTTTGTTTTTTGTCGTGAGTCATCCTCTGTACTAACAGCATGTTTTTCTTTTGTTCTTTTTTTTTCTTCTATTTTTTACCCTGCCTCCATCGCCCCTGTAAATGTACACACCTCACCTGCCTCTTTAATCTTTGGCTGCCTCTGGGTCTGGCTGAAACCGTGTTTATTGTGCTGCTTATTCTCTTTGTGTTTGCATGTCTTCCCAATTTGTTTTCTCTCCCTCACCCACCTGTTCTGACTGATTTGTGCCGTGTCCTCTAACTCCAGCCTGTCAGAAAGTTCTGTGTACCTCCTCAGTCTCCAGACTTTACACAGTCTCCTAACACCAGCCCCTGTCCATCACCAGATCTTGTCCCTAATCACACAAGACAATGTATCTCCACCCCCAACTCACTGGCTCCAAACAATGAGCTCCTGTCGTTACCACTTAATAAGACACAAACTCTCCCTGCTAAACCCAAAGTTGCCCCAAAGCCCCTCCAGGCCACAGTATCTAACCCGCTTCCTGAAACCTGCCCTGTTTCAGATATTGCCGCCAAATCAGAGCCTTGCACTCCCTGCCAGCTTCCCCTGCATCCAGCCTCATCCTCGCCCTTTCCCCCATCCATCGTCCTTAGTGCTCCAGTTCCAAACAGCCCCAATGTGCAACACTCCGGTTTTGCTGCCAGCCCTCAGCTCCCAGTGCCCTGTAGCCCAGTACTGCCTTGGTCTCCCGTCCGTTTGCACCACTTCCATGCTACAGCGCCGATGTCTTCCTCATTAACTGATCACCATCCCAAATCTATCCCCCTCATACAGGTTACCCCCCACCCCTCCCCTCGAGGCAGCCCCCTCCCTACCCCAAAGGGCACCCCAGTGCACACACCCAAGGACAGCCCGTCCGGGACGCCCACCTCAACGCCGCCGCCCAGCCCTTCCATCGGGGGCATGCCATGGAGAACACGTCTCAACTCCATCAAGAACAGCTTCCTGGGCTCGCCACGCTTTCACCGCAGGAAACTCCAAGGTCCTGACTATGTTCTGAAAGTTTTGTACCCTTTATTCTGATTTACTTGATAAATAATTAGCAGCAGCCACGGTTTGACTTTTACTCCTTTTCAAACAGTTCCCACCCAAGAGGAAATGTCCAGCCTCACGCCAGAGTCTTCTCCAGAGTGAGTAGTAACTACAGTCATCTTGACCAGAATCTTTCAGATACACACCCTTGATAACATGATTAATAATAAAATCCCAGTTATGAATGTCATTTTTCTCGTCTGAGTTTCCTGAAAGGAGCTCTGAGGACTGGTCTGGTCTGGTCTGGTTTATGAACGTGGTGCTGTAGTAAGAGCTCGTGTGTGGGTTACAAGAAAAAGGATGGTAGCCTGTATGATGTTGCTGAGCTACCAGGGGACCGATGCCTCAAAGTCGTCCTAGATATGCCTGTTTGATTGGCCGACTGTCTGGCTACAACCTGGCCGTGAGAAACATCCTGGCTGGAAAAGTATCTTCCATTTGATTCTTTTATTGGTATTTAAACTGGTTTGATTTGTATTAAAGTTGTTCATGGTTTTAAGCCATCAAAGTCCCTCATAATTTCCCCCAAAAATATTAGATTTATCACTTATTAAAAGAGGAGCCCATATGGCTTATTAGTGTGTCTACAGCTGTGTGAGGCCCCTGCTCCTCCTGCAGTTCTGTTCACAGAAGCTTGATTTGGGCTCTGCAATCGCACACACACACACAGCAAAAGCTACAAGCATCTATGCATACCAAGAGTTTGGGAGCAGATGAAATGTCAGAAACCCTTCCTCACATGCACAGGTTTAGCTCCTTCCCCTCAGGTTATCCTCTGTTTGCTTCTTTCCATTTCCCCAGAGCTGCAGAGTGAGGCGAGTGGGGGCGGGAGAGAAGAAAATAGAGAGAGAGGCTGAGAGAAATAGGAGAGGGAAGTGAGGGAGAGTGACTGCTGCTGTTGTGTTCCATTTTATTCCACAGACAGATAGTTTATTAGAAAACAGGCAGTAGAAAACTAAATGCGTGAGACAAAAGACGATTAGAAACAATGTATGAGAAGCTGAGACTCCATGTTTATTCTTCTGCTGTTTTTTTTTTTTTTTTTTGTTCTTCACAGACTCGCCAAGAAATCCTGGTTTGGTAACTTCATTAACCTGGAGAAAGAAGAGCAGATCTTCATTGTTATCAAAGACAAGCCTCTCAGCTCCATCAAAGCAGACATTGTTCAGGCTTTCCTCTCGGTACACTCCTCTCCGCTCTGTTATTTCTTCAACTGTCCATTTCTTCTAGTTCTCGTACATTTTTTGCTCCTTTTATGAATGCACTTTTTACTTGATGTTTCCAGCCACATGGCTGATTGACAAGGCACTGTTACCCTTTAACCTCTCTGTGAGTGTTTGCTAACACGATTCAGATTTATTTAGCAGTTCCCTAAACTGCTAGTGTTCAGCAATCCTGCTTTTTTTTCTAAAGTCAGTCTCACCTAAGATGAAATTCAATAGAATATCAGCAGCGATCATTAGCATATAGATGCTCTGCCCTGGTGTAGCACGTGTTGAAAACATGCATATTTTTACATGTATTGCTAGATGTTGCGGAGCAGCTTGTGTTGAGCATGGCAGAAAAACTGTATCACCAAACATTAAGCAGTGAATTTTTTTTTTTTTTTACAGTACATTATTCAACAAAATTTCTAAAAAGTGCCACCTCCGCCTGTGTAGGTCAATGTCAAAATTGTTCCTCATCCCGGGAGGAAGCTATTTTCTCCTCCGGGTTATGCCCACTGATATTCCCGACAGGAGATTGTCGCCTGAATCAGTGGAATTATACCTCTCAGCAGACTGACATTATCCAAATGTCAAAGCCTCTCCAGCATTATGGAAAAACGTGACAAATACTGAGCACACTTTTCACTCAATGAGCCTACGGTGTAATTTCTAGGTGGCACACTGCACAATTGTTGGACAATTTAAGATTACAGTAACTGAAGTCTGAGTGATGAACACCACCAATCTGTGAGGCATTTATTCCTTAAGGCAGTGGTCTCCAATCTCTTTCAGTTGTACCTCCCCTTGGTAGATATTGGTGAGACCCCACCTCAGGTAGACACGTTCCCAAATACCCTTATTACTTCCTTTTTCAATGTTTTTCTTATTGAAAAAATAAAATAAAATAATTAAACAGTTAATTTTAACCACTGTGGCACATAAGAAATACTAGTAATTGCATTGATTTGACCTACTGCACTGAATCTGTGCCCTTGAATGGGGGTTCACCCCCCACTTTGGGATCCACTATTTTGAGAAGTAGGACCTTGTGCTCATAGTATGTAAGAATATGATGGATTATGAAAATGTATTTTTTCCCAGTAGAGTTATAAGACTGAGTGTTATTATTTCTTGTATAGTTATCTTGTGTCTTCTTGTCCATTTTTGTCCTGTTCTGTTTCCCCTCAGATCCCGAGCCTAAGCCACAGTGTGATTTCTCAAACCAGTTTTCGAGCAGAGTACAAGTCCACGGCCGGCCCTACAGTCTTCCAGAAGCCGGTCAAATTTCAGGTGGATATCACCTACACGGAGAGCGCAGCAGCCACCAAGGAGAACGGCATCTACTCTGTCACCTTTACTCTGCTCTCAGGTTAGAAATCCCCCTCGACGAGTGTTCAGGTGTTCAAGTTTTTTTCCACACTAATAACTTAATTTAATTTCCAACCAAACATGGATCAGGATGAAAAACTCTGCATCAGGTTTTATTTGTTTGTTCTATCAGATTATTTCTTTTCTAAACTAAAGCAACATTTGAAACATACTGGATTTCAGTCCTCATTCAGTATTAGGCAGAGAAGCAGGCTGTGTCTTAAATGAGGGACATAAAGAGAAATAGGGTTCTTTTTCTATTTGTCTTAAAACCTTTTGACTTGGTCTTGTATATCCTTGTTCAAAAGCAACCTTACAGGTCTATTTGAGGTCCATTTTACTTGAAACACATACAGATCAATAAACAGGAAAGGGTTTTTTATTTGTGCCCCTGTCAAGTGCAAAGAACAAGAAACTCCAGCTGTGAGACAACAAACAGCAGCAGCCAGTTTGTTATCGTTTAAAATCTTCTCATCCGGGCTCACAGAGTCCTCCTAGAATTTATATTTAAAAGAGAACTCTCTGCTGCACCACTTTTGAATAGTGGACCTTCACAGCTATTGCTTTAAGTCTCTGAATTTAAAAAATAAACATTGTTATTCTTAAAGATCAATATTCCGACTAAAAAAAGGAATTACGTTTTTAATTAGTAATTTTTTTCCCACGTTGGCAAAAATATTAAAAATCTTGATTAAAAGTCTCCAGTCATGATACCAAAGAGAATGGCTGCCCAAGGATTTTTTTTTCTTCACGCAGCCCTGGATTCTTGATAAGATTCTCCCTAAAGCTCTCAGAGCGTAACAGGATGACTGGCTGTCTGGCTGTGTAAGATTACATACTGTGCAGTCACACTTGCATGCTAAATTGTGTAGAAACATATGCACGCTGTTCTGCTTTCATACTCTGGCGTACACACCAACGGACGCACACGACCGGGGGTGTGTCTGAGCTGAATGGGCTGTAACAGTTGGTTTATTTCAAACTGCTGCTTCTTCCATATCACTGACCTCAGACTGTACAATCCCGGCGACCGCAGGAATCCATTTATCATAAAAGGGTTTCCACCTTTACTATCAGACCACTCTCTGTGCACTTCTCTGTCTTCACACATTTTATTTATTTCAAAGCCATCAAAGTCTGCGTATTACTCCTGTGCTGCCTTCACAGTGCAGCTTATTGTATTTGTAAATTTCTTTTAGGACCAAGCCGGCGCTTCAAACGAGTAGTGGAGACGATTCAGAGCCAGTTGTTAAGCACACATGACCAGCCTGGGGTCCAGCAGTTGTCTGGTGAGTTGGAACTTTTTTACGTTCAATGATTTTCCTTTACTAACCTTCCCTTTGCCCCCGCCGCCTCATCTGTTCATTCCACCCACTGATGAACCACTCACCCTGCTCTAACTCAGCTCAGGTCTCGCCCTCCTCTCGTTGCATCTTTCCACACCACCAGGCAGCATCCTCTGTATGTCAGTGTCTCACTGGGTGTAGTTCCCAGCACTGACTGCAGGTCAAACGTTGTCTGGTTGAACCGGCAGTGAGGATTAGAGTAGAGGTACGGCAATGCTGACGCGTCTCCTCCTTCTGCTTTCAAGACCGATCACCCAAAGCTTGTCACCATGGTAACACCACGGCACCTAGACACACTCCCACAATGCATTGCACCACCAAGCGACACCACACCTGAGCTCTCGGTTTCTCTGTGTATGCCTATACAGTTATTAGGGGTTCTTTCTGTTCACTTGTATTGAAAAACCCTTGTCCTAAGATCTTTCTCACTTCTCGTCTGTTCACTCCAGAACTCTGTTCTGACGTCATTAAAATGTCCTCCATTTGGTCTTTAATGTCATTGAGGTCACTGTCACTTCCCTTCACTGTGGCTGTAACACATGATGAAGAGGAAGGAGGAAGAAATGTAAAGGAATTCTCCTCCCTACTGCTGCGCCTCATGAATCATTGCGCCCACTGCTGTGCCTCTCCGTCACATTCCTTTAATTAGAGTTCCACCTACTGGTCAAACTGGGAATAGCATGTCTTTTTTTTAATTATTATTTGATCTTTTGAGACTAGTAGTTTCCTTACATGTAAAATATATTCTTGAAGCCTTGCTTGGACATATGGACATATACATAATATTACTGCTGTTGGAATTTGACAGCTGTAATCATATTCTCAGGCAGAGGTGATGGGAAGAAGTACAGTATGTGTGGCCTACAGTCTAGCAGTTCCAGTGTGCATGCTTCATAAACCATTAACAATTCCCTGTGCACTTCTTTTTATTGAAATGTTTAATTGTTTCATGTATTTTAATAGGCCGCCCCCTATTAAAACATGCCAGTGCACACATAAAGGGAGTTAGATTATGATTATGTAAGTGCATCTAAAAGAATACATTAATCTAATAGTAGCAAAAGTTATGTTAAGAATAACTCTGCTACGTTATATAAAATATATAAGCAGCAACACTGTTTATCAGAAATATATCCACTGGGAAATTAACATCACATGACACTAACTCACTTAAACTACTGTTAAGAACTGACTCCTTTTTACTCAACTCACAATTTATGCTTCTGATGCACATTTTGTCATGCAGTAAATTTTCCCACCATCAGCAAAGCCATTGTCGTAGAAGAATGGGCCACATCTGGACACGGGCCATATTTTTTATACATCACTGACCTAAATCATCGGATGTCATTGAGAAGAGAGTCAGTTCTGCCTTTTTCCATTTGTTAGAGGTCACAAAAGCAGTCATCTGCATCCAGATCTGGCACCGTTTAAATGCTGCATGTCCTTTCTGTCACTTTCAGGACTGTCGGTGTAAAAGAGTGTTTCCGTTAAAATGATGTAATAAGTAAGCAGTATCGTAAGCAGGTCGGGTTGTGCTCGTGAGCTTTGTGCGTTTCACTTTTCTCCGTCCCCGCTTGTGTTCTGTGACCTTGGAACACATCTTTAGTGCTATCTGGCCACAGGGCTTTCATGGCGAGAGCTGATCCCTGTAATTAACAACAACACTGGCTTTGCATACCAATACATGTCAGACAAAGGGCTTCATTAAGTCTTCGTCATTATGTTCCTGATTGCTTTTTACAAAAAGATACCTGAGACAAAACAGAAGGGACAGCACAAGGACTCTAGAGGACAGACAGTGCAGCTAGAGGGAGAAGTGTTCATTCGCTGCATGGTGTAAAGTCGTTCCATGTTGTGTGTGGAAATTGTGCAGATTTAGTTGGAATGAAGTAACCAAAAAAAAAAATCCATCTTGAAAAGAGCAATGGCGTTGCTTGCAATAAATTTCTGCCTATAAAAATAGAAGTGGTCCAAACCCTGGACCACTTTCGCACATTTCTGCAGAGATTACGTTTTTCTTAATCTTCAGGTTTCTCCAAGGAGTTTTCACATTGGCGCTATGTACAAATTTGTCAGGCTTTTAACATTGCGTGTGTGTTTGTGTTTGTGTGTGCTGTTGTTGTTACCATTCATCGGTGCACCAGGAGAACTACATTCCACAAATGAATCACAGAAATGTGCTGTGTTTGCACCATTAACAAAAAGAACAGCGACTCTTTATTTGCTCCATTTCTCATGTTTGGCATCCAGCACACGCTCACTACCTGCTGCAGCAGAACCATTAAGAAACGTCTCTCCCTCTCTCTCTCCTCATCTCTCAGTGTGGCAGAGTTACTGTACATATTTGTGCGATTCATATTTGTGTGATTCACTGCGGACCACTTACTATTTAAGGCGACATGAAACAGGTTGGAATATTGTGTTGTCAAACTTTATGTGTCGGGCTTTAAACTTTAAGGAGAATCATAATGATGATGCACATTCTAACCTGAGTGTGATGTTTACAGCTGGGTTTTAAAGTGGGCTCACATACGACACAAGAACCAAGGAGGTGGCCGTGCATAAGAAAGCCTTTTATTGCTGTGTTCAATGTTTAACTGAACATTACTTTTATATTGTAAAAGTGCTTCTCAAGTGCCTTAATACTGAGCAGGTTATATTTCCCACATTATTCTGAACGTACTGTTACGTAGACTTACAATAGCTCTTTGACGAGGCCAAGCTAGCGTTCAGGCTGATCTGGACACAGCTACATCCCACACCATAATAGTGTGATGACAACATAACTCTGACCAGTGACCTAAACAACTGCTTCCCAGAGTTTGACACACACCTACACAGAAATTCCCCATATCTTGTCTCCTGTCAGTGTGAGAATGTCCTTGGTGACATCATCAACAAGTCCCTGAGCAATGCTGTCATTCCTACCTGCCTATAAGTCACTACTGTTAGGTATGTGCCAGAGAAACTGTCTCCATCAGCTTCTCTGACCACCACCGTTTGGCACATCATAGTGTAGTTTTTTGAATCTAAATGTCTTGTCACGTTCTACAAGTCACCGTCAAGCTGCACAGTTTTGACTCAGATTCACCAACTCTATGAAGCTTCATTTTTGCATATTTTCTCCAACATCACAACTTATGTGGATTAGTCAGATAGAAAAACAGGTGTGAAACACATACATCTACCTGCTGTTATTTGTCTCTCTGTTCCTAAAATATACAGGAACATTTTGTATCATATTTATGTTATTATGTTATTTATTATTCAGGATTAATTACAGTCACGATTAACCATGGTTAATTGTGATTAATTGTGAATAATTACAATCACGATTAATCATGATTAATTATATCATGATACCACAGCTACCTTGTAATTAACCTTATTCCAAATTTGAATTGATTGACAGCCCTAGGTAATGCACATTAATAGGCTCTTTATATAGTTCCTGAAAAACCTAAGTTTATCTGCACATATCGAATCTCTCTTAAAAAACAATTTAGAAAATAATTAACCAATAGTCTTTCATCACCACACCGGACTCTTGGTGTGGTGATGAAAGACTATTGGTTAATTATTGCACATTCATTTTAACATTGATTTTTCACCAGATGCCCTCTCTGATGCAGAATTATTTTAACCACACTCAGTCCCATAGTTCCCAGTCTTTAGTATAACTACATTGTTTTATCTGTGGCCACGCCTCTGTCCTGTGAAGCCCACTGTTCATCTGTCTCTTTGTCCTCTGTCTCCTCTCTGTCCTCCTCTTGTCCTCCTTCTCCCCATCTGTGCACCCAGGCAGCCCAATGAGTAACTTCTTTGACGTAATTAAACAACTTTTTTCAGACGAGAAGAACGGACAGGTGTTCTACCCCCCCGGCACACCCTACAACCGCTGCCCCTCAGCTATGCACACCAGGAGGCACGAGCTGCAACTTAATGACGCCAAATACCCCGCTGTGGGGCAAGACAGAATCAAGTTGTCGGGGGCGTCGACCAGGACACAAGAGGAGTCTTAAGCCCTTAAGTCAAGCTTGTGCTATAAGCTAACGCAGTATCACAGAGAGAATATTCTACTTGTACATACGTCGATTACAACATATTTTTGTATCAGATAATTTTATATTGACAAAGTAATATATATTAGGAAAAATTATCCAAAAGATTGTATGGACAGCCAACAGCACCTTCATCACTACCACACACTGCACCTCCACCCTCCGTCTCATCACACCTCAGTTCCCACCATCATCATCAACCAGTCTACCTGATGCCGTCCTCACCTCCGGCCTCTGCTCTCTGTGTTTTCTTGTTTCCTTGCCACTAACCTGTGTGATGACCTGACTTCTTTCTGATACCAGGAATTATCCAGAAAACCTATTAGGTTCTTCGTCCTGCTCCCTGCTCTGCTCCCTCCCTTCAGCCAACCTCCTCACCCCCCCCCCCAAGCACGAACGAGACGAGTGTTTGTTGATGGAGGACTGCTTTCAGAGGTGCGCTCGGAAGTTGAGAGGGTTACCATAGAAACGGATCCTTCATACAGACCTTCATCTCCCTCTGTGCCCCTTGTACACCCAAGTAGCCACCAACGGAAGATGCTGAAAATACCCCTAGTGTACCCTTCCCAAAAACTCTCTCTCTCACACACACACATCATCCACATCCACTTCAGTCAAACAGATCGAGCTCCTCTTTCTTTTTAACTATAAAAGTAATTGTTCAATTAGGAAAAAATAACATTTTACAAAAGGACTGTGATCAACGGAAAACGATTCACGCATATGCACCGATAACTCTGGGATGTATTTTCTAAAACAAATGAAATAACAGCGACAAAAAGAAGACAACTGCGGAAAACTGTAATGAACCAGTGAAGATGAGGATGAAGGTGGATTTTTCTTTAAAAAAAAAAGAAAAAGAAAAAAAAGCTGATGCAGATGCTTGCTGGGTTGTATTTGTTTGCTTCTCAAATGTACTTTCTTTGTGGAACAGCAGGGTTAGTACAGTACAGTACAGTACAGTCTGAGCTGGTGATTACAAAGAGGATGGTGGTGTGAGCAGAACAGGGCAGAGGGTGGGTTTATGGTGTCGGGGTGGGACGTGGGGGGGTGTTTGAAATGAATGATCTATTCTCTTGTACAGACTGATATCATTTCTTATGTAAAAATTAAAATGTCTAGTTGTGACACTATCTAGATCAAATCATATAGGGTCAGGTTGGTGAACCTGCCTCTGCCTCATACTGTATTATTAAACTACGCTATGTTGTTTTGATTTGATTCTGTTTCGTTGAGTGACCATGTCTGTCTTTGCCTCCAAATATCAAACATTCCTGTCCCTGTTATATGCAGCACTTTGTCTTTGTTTTTGTTTTTTTATTATTATTATTTCCACCTCTCTCTTAGTCTTACTCACTGTACCAGCAGTAGGAGAAGAGGAACAAAACTTAGTGACATGACAAATGCAATTGTAGATATTTTTGTACTTTTTCTCCTAATTTATTTGCAAAAGTCCATCTAGCTGTTTGTTTTCCTAATTTATTGTTGACTGGCTATTTATATGAACAAATCTGCCAGGTCAGTTGAATGTTATTTATTACCCTATTGTGTGATTGTAAACGGGGCCATGTTTGAAGAAACACTTTTTGTTTTCTTTTCTTTTGTTCTGTGTGAAACAGAACTATGTGAATATTGATGTTTCGAATTCTCCCATTCCCCTCCCCTCTGTGACCAGGGGAGGAGAACTTGTGGGAACTCTTGAGAAAAAAAAACAACAACAACAATTTACCAGTAATTTAAGAATGTAGACTTAGCCTCTTTTTGGAGAAGGAATGTGCTCTTCTATGGATATTTGTCAGGTTCATAGTATTCTATGAGAAGAACACCACAGACTTCTTCTCTGTGTAAATAGACAGACAGACACTGGGGTTGATTGTCTTCTCAACTATGCTGGGGATTCCTGCTCTTTGCTTTTAGCTTGTATTGCTGTGTGCATGTCAAACACAAGCTTTTCTTTGCATGGCTTTAGTGTTAATGCTACATGCCAGATATCACTCCTTCTCTTTATCAGCCTTTATCAGTTCTCCACAAAACAGTTCTAATGTTTTAAATAGGCATTTGTCCCTTATTTTCCTGCTCTCTGCTTCTTCCTTCCTTCTCTCTTTTTCTCTTCTTTTTATTGTCCCTTATCTGCTGTTGCACTTTGTTTGTACCTTTCTATCTTGTGCACAAAGTTTTTAAACAATGCTTCTCTGTCACTCTCCCTGGAAGGCTACAAGGTCTGGGCTGACTCTCTAGACACGGGGAGAGAATATCAGTTCTATAAACAAAAAGCAATACCCTAATGTTCTTTTTCTTTTTTTTTCTTTCCTTTTTCTTTTTTGTATTTGATGCTAGCAGCACTGAGGACATTTAAAGGTTATAAGGCCCAAGGTGACATACCAGAGCAGGAACAATATTGACTCATGTAATCCCCTTATAACACAACTGTGAGCATCTTCAATGCTGAAACAAATAAACTCATTCAATTACTGTGCACTTGTTTTCTGTTTCCTACATGTACAGAAACAGAGAACAATAATGAATCATATTTAATAATGACGTGTGGAAAAAAGGCAAAACAAAATATAAACAGTGAAATCCATCACAAGAAGCAAACTGTATGTCCCAATATTTAACCCAGGTGTATATTTTGTGAAAAACATGTTATTGTAAAATATCAAATATTGCCCAAAACTAACATAGTAAACTAGGACTCAAACTTTGAAAATGCCAGTTAGAGTCAGATGGCAGCACAACTCAGTGGTAACAATAAATAATAATAAATAATAATAAATTATTGTTTTCTAATTTATCAAAAATCCATATACACGTTTAATTTGTGTTGTTAATGGCACGGAGCTAATTACATGCAAATTAAAAATTAAATATATCGAATTTGCAACTGAAACTTATTACGTAGTGGATGGATGTGATTGAAGATCTAAAATATCATTAAGAAACTTCTCATGTTCTCTATTTATTTGTTTTTATTTTTATTTATGCGTACATACAGATCTACAAATTCTTTCGCAGTAATATTAGATTGACGTAATTTCCGCTTCCTGTTTTACGCATGCGAGTTTTCAAATTATACCGGAAAGGTGCGCTCTGGTTTTTCAAACAAACATTTGGTCGTCGTCGAGGGGAACGAAGACTGGACACAAAAGCTATTTACGTTTAAACTACATAATGAAACAGATTTGTGTGATGTTCGGGCATTTTATGGACACTAGTGGGTTAGTTATTTTTCTCGATAAACCTTTTTTGGCGTTAAGTTACTCTGCCAGCGTGTGTTTAGTGCTGCGGTCCAGCGTTTTCATCCCTGTGGACACTCGATGCACAGCGGATGGCCCGTCCGGAAAAGACAAATGTTTGAAAGACCGGAAGGTAAGAATTAAACTTTAAAGGTGATTTTCTGTTATTGTACATAATTTCATTGTACCGAGTGTACAATTGAACGGAGTGTACAATTGTACTTAAAAGTGTAGCCAACTAGAAGTCGATGTGATAACAGTTGTGGTTCAGGTGGAGGAGCTCCAATTGTTGATTTTCTACCTCTATGTAAAATATACTGTTGGATTTTTATTAACAAATCAACGGGTTAATTCACATTTTTATACAAATAGCCTACTCTCTTTATGGGAACTATATCAGAACCGAGAAAAAGTGCTAACATTGTAATGCTAGTATTTTAATGATGGTCATCGTGGTGGTGCTCAGAGAGCTCAATGTTTTCTCAGGTGGTACAGAGTATAAAAAGTTTGAGAACCACTGTCTTAGGGTATTACACTGTGATGCCAAAAAAATACATTTAAGAAGTTAAGGTTGAGAAATCAGGATAAAGAAAATCTTACCTGGAAAATGTTGTACTTCACATCAGAAATTTCAACCTGTTTGTTACAGGCACCATCTGGTCCGGTGGATGCCAACAGGGACTTGAATCTAGCAAAAACACATTTAATTTATTTATTAATGTTAACCTATCACATTTAAAAATGTTCTCAACATGGACTGAACTTCACTGACTTGTCAGAAGCTGTGATGAGCAGCCATGTCAGTTGAATGTTATTTATTGACACCAGATACCAGTTAGAAGGATCACAGGTATAGTTATCGATACAGGAAATGAACGTGTCCATCTGCTGGACGGAAGAACAAACTACAAACAGTTAAAGACAAAAGTAAACAATAGAAAATAACAAGGTTTGCATAAAGAAGTAGGATTTTTGTTGTGGACAAAGCAGGAAAGATGTAAAAGGATCACAAGAAAAGGTTACTCAAAGGCTGGGCCAGGTTACACTTGTGGTACAGCAATGGTTCGACAGTGAAGTATACTTTGATATATACAGTCTAAGTTTGTCAATATAAAATAACTATTCAATTTCAAGCAGGAAAGTCAAAGTTCTAAGACAGATTGGGCCTAAAAACATTATTTATAGAATCTCTGGACACCAGGTCGCAACCTGCTTTATTGCTTTGTCTAAGAACTTTTAAAAAAACCTACCGATGTTCTTTTTAGAAGATGGAAAAAAAACATTTGCAGCACTTGAAATTGAAGACCAGTTAAAATCATCAGGTCTATCACGTGTTTTAGTTCAACATAAAACACCATTCTGTCTTAAAACCTTTGTCTTTTTTGTTGGACATTAATAATGAGGAGGAGAAAAGGGGCTTCAACACAGCAAATATCTGCTGAAGACTAAAACATGTCCTGGTTTTTACCTTCTTTGTCCACAGAGACCAGTGGCATCTGCATCTCGTCCAGGCCTTCACAACCAGACGCAGAGATTGTCCCAGGAATGGCCATGAGACCTTCTTGGGAGTTAAGGTAGGGATAAAGTAGTTGGTACAGTGGGGCAAAAAAGTATTTAGTCAGCAGCCAATTGTGCATGTTCTCCCACTTAAAAAGATGAGAGAGGCCTGTAAGTTTCATCATAGGTACACTTCAACTATGAGAGACAGAACTGAGGGGAAAGAATCCAGGAAATCACATTGTAGGATTTTTAATGAATTAATTGGTAAATTCCTCAGTAAAACAAGTATTTTGTCACCTACAACGTTTGTGTGCACAACTCTGTTATGCTTAAAAACCTGGGTCAGGGAAAGATAATTGGTCAGACTCCGTGAACTGACAACCCATGCTGTTTGTCAGGGACGCGTAGATCTGACCCAGAGCTCTGGAACTGCCAATTTTGCTGATTCTGTAATAAACACGAGTTAAGCCATAAAAATCTTATTCTATTTGCTCCATTAAAAGAATACATGGGATCTGACTCACACATAGAGATTTCAGTAGAATGAGCAGAACTCAACATTATATAATCAGCATCTGGTCTTGTGAGCCCAAAGCTCTGCTCCTACTACATGAAGAAGTCAAACTACAGACTGTTTGTACAGAGCATAAGTGCTACCTGTTAGCCTTGTTAGCACAATAGCATTAGCTTTGTCGGCACAGCTGACAGCACACATTCTCATAGTCTGAAGGCTGAGAGTTCAAGCCTCGCAAAAGCTATCATTGTTCCAGTGGCTTCGCACTCGTGCACGCATGAGATTGATTAAATAAATCCCTTTAGGTGTAGCAGCAGACCCATATCGCCATCAACTGGGCCGGTGGACTCCACGACGCCAAGAAGTCCGAGGCATCTGGTTTCTGTTAAGTGAACGACATCGTCCTGGCCATTTTTGAGCTGCTCAAGTAAGAAAAAAAAACATTTCAATTTTTTTTTCACCAGTAATTAAACTTTTGGACAGCATTTACAATGTTGGGAAATGTTTACAGGACATCGGGGCTAGAAAGGACAAATACTACGCAGTGAATACCCCACGAAGCCATCTTTAAAGTCTGTTCGGTAAGTCTGTTTTACTGTGAGTGCGATTTAGTTTTATTTTAACCCCCAACTTCTCTGTGGACAAGTTTTTAAAATGTGTGTCTTGGGTTTAGATCATGGCCAAAGTAATGGAGATGTACCAGCCCAGCGTAGTGGTCCTTCAGTGTGGAGCCGATTCAACGTCACTGGTTGAGGTATGAAAAGAAATGTACACTTTGAACATGGTGTAGTCATCTTAGAGCAGGGGTGCCCAAACTGTTCCACGAAGGGCCGTTGTGGCTGCAGGTTTTTGTTCCAACCAAGCAGTAGCACACCTGAGTTGACAGGTTTAATCAACTGGTCTGTCTTCAGACAGCTGATTGGTCAAACTATGTGCGCTTGGGTGGAATAAAAACCTGCAGCCACATGGTCCTTTGAGGAACAGTTTGGGCATGCCTGTCTTAGAGCATTTGTATGGAATGTTGATTTTATTTTATCTTGTGTTTCAGGCCCAAAGAAGAGGTTTAACCAAGTTGTTCCACTCCTGATGATGGGACCTTTGTTGAGTCCTGTGAGCACTTGGTGGTTGTGAGTATGTGATCTGTCCATCTTTACCTGAAGTGTTAAAGCTGAGAGTTGCTGTTGTAATTTGACTTGTATTAAAATGTGTATGTATGGACATTTTGTAAATGTGAAGTCTTTTTCTCTTTCTTTACCCTTACCCTTGATTTTGACAATGCACACAGTGCTCCAACAACTTTCTTTTAATGGAAGGTTTACAACACATCAAATACAGCTTAACTTATACAATGATTGCACATCATAACTAAGTCAAAAAATGAACAAAAAAGTAAAAGGAAATCTGTAAATGACAATACCATAGCAATCAAATACAGCTCAAGTTACACAAACTATGTAACTAAAAAAATAAGTCAAATAAAAAACTGTCTCATAAAATCTGTTACTGACAATAGCAATCAAGATACACTGAAAGTCACTACAACTTTGCAATGACACAATTCAGTAAAGCACTCACGAGTCCAGCAAACAAGAAGTGATCAGTCCTTGCGTGTCTGTCTTCTCCTCCATCTGTTAATGACAATAGCACAGGAGGCACAATGAATGGAAGAACAAGCTGGATTAACACAATCAAAAGCTGTGTTGGTCTCATTTACCTCTTTCCTTCAGAGTGGAAAGCCACACAGTTGATGGGACCAAAATGACCTTTGACTCCTGACAAACTCCTCGTACGCAGCGTGGAAGAACCTGCAGATTAGAAGAACACATCATTGTGCCACATGTTAACACAAACAAACAGCTTTCCCTTAAAAGCAGCTACAAAGCAGTCACTTCCACAGCACCACCAACATTACAACTACATGTTTACACATCACTATGACTGCTCACTATCAACAGTAGCACAAATTCAATACTTTAAACAGATATTTCAGGTCTTTCTTTGTAACAAAGTTGTGTCTTCTTCAGTGCTAATGCCAACACCACAATGGAATAAATTACACCTGATTCTTTTGTTCAGAGGAAGACAACAAAAGAATCAGATGTAACTTGAATGCTTTACTCAACTGCACAATAATACTCTGGAAACACCACTTCAACTAACCTCGCCTCAAACTTGCCAATCCTGGTGGAAGTTGTGGTCACTTCCGTGGCCTCCTCCCATAACCACCTACAAACACAATTGCAAGGTTCAAGGTCACTGTTGATCTACTAGGATACGCACTGCACAGCGACAATTTCATCTTACGTGGTTGGAGAAATGGCGGCAACAACGTGAGAGAACACATGGCACTCGGTCATCTGCACAACAACATCAGTCCACGTCTTGGACTCCAAAACAAACAAACAAATAATTTCATTTTTACTTCACTATCTGGGTGGCTGACTTAGAGCCTTTAGCAGCCTTACACAGTTAACTTTGAACTAGGCAAACTTTTATTCAAGCACTAATCTCTCTTCAAGGCCTTAAAGTCACAGTCAAGTACCTTAGCTTTATTGGACTGCAATCCGTCAACACGAAAAAGTAACACAAAACCATAACAGACATTTCTCCTAACATGTACTTCAAATATTCTAAAGTCTATTTCAGTATAAGTACATAAGTCAGTGGATTCACATTATAAGGTCTGTAGTATGGACAGATTGACCAACACACTTGGACTGAAGGAAAATGCCATTATAAATAAATGGGACAAGTGGACACATTCAAAGTAACCACACCTACTACTGTGTGTTTTTTTGGTGTATCTTGTATAACCCCAGCAAATTGTCAATGTTTACTTCAGTTTACACATACTTGTATAACAAACTATTAATACATTCTTCATTCACTTATTTCTGTTGTTCTACTTTGGGGCTGGTGTCTTAAGCACAAATGACTAAAAGGTCACCTCACAATTCCATACATATATAAACAACGACAAATCCAAGAGTTAAAAGAAAAAACAACTCTTTTCTTTGTTGAAGGCAACTGGACATGACATTTTCACTCAACAGAGGAGGTGGGCTAAGACACCTATCACCCACATACCGAAACCATTCTGATTAGGACCCCGACGGCCCACCGGACTGGAGGGACCTGATGTAGCTTTATTTTTTTGTCACACCCACAGTATATATTTGCTGTACTCCCCTCCACCAGTTAGAACTGAAGCTTCTTGGATGAGAGGCCAAATGTCTTCTTGAGAAAATTTCACATACAGTTGCCTAAAGGAACTTTTTAACCTTGACCTGGATGACTGAGAATCTTCATAGACAAATCTTTTCTTTATTCACCTTCAAAAACTACAACCTCAGGTTTCATTTTTATGGTTAAAACATAACACTTCTCTGGGTGTTCTCCTTGATGGCCAGTTCTCACCTTGGCGGTGTTGTCCTTTGAAGGCAAGTGCCTGTTGTGCTCCTTAGCTTTCTTCAGGACTTCCTCCAAAATACTGAAAATTTTCTTCAGGACTTCTCTGGAATATTGAAAGATAAACAACAAAAACGGTTTCTCATTATTTCCTTCCTCTATTTCATTTCTATAATATGGTGTGCAAACTATTTCTTTAGCAGTAATCAGGAAGCTGTTTACTTTATTTTACAGTATTAATTTGTTTATGTTGCGCGTGACGATTACCTACCGATCTGTTGAGGATCCCTCAGGTCGAAGAAGTTCATAAAACACCGATAGCCCATCTGCTTGTCTGTAGAAAACATGATGTTGCTGCTAAAATCAAACCTGCGTGTTCTGACGACAGACATTAAAGAACAGACACGGAAAATTTAAAAAAATTACACCAAAATTTCACCAAAATATAAAAAACTTGTCAGGAAACTATCCAAAATACATTTAAACACTCATACAATAATATGTCTGCTGGAACCGCCTATATAGCTAACTGTTTAATTAATTTCATTATTTCACTACAACTATTTACACTGTGCATATACAGTATTTCATATATTACTGTATATATTTATTTTATATACCTGTTCACATAACATCCTTATAATTATACTAGTTCTGCTTATATGTACATACTGTATCATAGGTATAACGTGGTATACTTTACTATACATACACATCATACCAATTTAATTTAGAATAACACAAATAATAATACTGTATATAATATATAATAATTGAGATTGCAAAAACACACAACAATTACCTACTAATACTACTAACACAAATCTATCTATGTTCTTCCAGTGACCAATCCAATTCGGTGTCTCTGACCTAAAGTGCAAACAGGCCAAAAACACTCAATTAAAATATAAATAAAAGACAAGTAACAGCCAAGGGCATTTTATAACCAGAATAAGATGATACCATAAAACAGGCCATTATTGCTAATAGTGTGAGGTAGTGAAGTTTAGATGTGCCACAAGTCATCAAAATCATTTGATCTGAAAGTGCCTCAAATCATATTGTGTCATACTAAAAATTGACATATTCTATGATGACGTGTACATATATAATGGGACTTTCTTGGAAAAATGCAAAGACCACAAAGTAATCCAAGAATACATGTGCATCCTCCAAGATTTGCCACCATGTGAATTTGTTATAAAATGTCAATAAGTAATCAGTATTCTTTTCAATAAAGTAAAAAAAAAATTCTTTTTAAATCCTGACACTGGTAGTGTGACCAATTTCCTAAATCAATTTGTTTTTAATTAATGACTACTGTGTCATAAAATAGTTGTCAGAAAGGGTAACTACAAAAATAATAAAATACTCATTTATGTTTGTGCTAAGCAATTTTGCACCAACAGCTTGCCCATGCAAAATTGTTAAATGACACAATTTTTTACATTAGATGGCAATAATTTCAGAAACTCTTTCATACCGGTGCTTAGAGTCATGAGGGTGGAGCGGTCGTATATTTGCAACCAATGGTTTCGTGGCTGTTGGTGCTCCATAAAACTCTCCGGTACCTTCCTGTAAACCAACAAAAGCATGTCTTTGTCACTGATGAACATAAATAACTCTACCTTGGAAAAATGTTGTCGTATTAGCACAGTCAACTCAGAAGTAATGACTTTAACCCGAGCGAAAAGCAGACTGTTCAATTGAACAAATTACGTGCAATAACAGACAATTATCTTCAAAGTTTAATTCTTACCTTGGCTGAACATCATATAAAACTGCTTCATTGTGTAGTTTAAACGTAAAACGTTTGTTTGTGTCGAGTTATCGTTCCCCTTGTGCCATCCACACATGCTCGACGACGACCAAATGTTTGATTGAAAAACCAGAGCACACCTTTCCAGGATAATTAGAAAGCTCTTGCTACGCATGCGCGAACCAGGGAGAGAAAAGGCCGCAATGACGTACGATGACGTATTTCAATCACATCATTTACGTTTGCTGACGTAAAATGATGTGAAAAAATGTGTAGTTCTGTGAACAAATAAATTAAAATAAAAGCAGAAATAAATAAGGAACATATGAGAAGTTTCTTAATAACATTTTACAATAGATTTTCTTTCCCTCTTTTTCCCCTTTCTTACCCCTCGTAGCAGTCTAGTATACCCTTCCTCGATATGATTTAAAAATGCATGAGGCAGTAAAAAAAATAAATTAAAGTTTTTGTTAGCCAGGTTTATTATATAGTCAGCATTAAAACAGAACATTTGTGTCCAAACCCTATTCTGCAGCTGAACCTCTAATACAAGCTTTAAACCTCAGCGTACATAAGCTTCATTATCTGTTAGTGTACCTGCAAAACATCAGCTACACAGAAACATAAAAACATATTTAAGTTAAGACACGGTGGTGACCTGGTGGTTAGGGAAGCAGACTTTGTGTCGGCAAGGTTGCAGGTTCGGGTCCACCAACCACTGTCCCACAATGTCCCATGGAGGTGCATTGAGCATGGCACTGTCCCCACACACTGCTCCCAGGTCACTTACTTGAGCTGCCCTCTGCTCACTAAGGTCAGGGGTTAAAGGCAGAGGACACATTTCATTGTCTGCGGTGGTGTGCCGTACATCGGTGACAATAACTGACTTTCCCTTTTATTTAGACAACAATAATATTAATATTAATTTGTTTACAAAAAATAAAAAGGGAACACCCCGTTAGATTCTCTCACTTCATTCTTTTCTCGTTAAATTAAAAAAAAAGTTTGTTTCTCTGGTTCCAACTTCAAAACAAATTTAACAGTTAAGTTATATATACACGTATATATAACGTAATTATATATAACGTGTATATATATATATATATATATATTGTACATTTGGTAAACCCAGAGCTACATCATTGCAGGAAGCGTCGCATTTTTTTCGTTCCTCACACACCGTATTACTTAGTAAAATGTGACAAAGCCAAAAGTCCAGCATGGCCGCCTTAAAATGTTCTTGGATATATACAACAGTCATCTCATGTCTCAGATGATACAGCTCCGATCCTCCATGGTCGTTATTGCATTTGTCAGTTTCAACCGCTAGACGGCAGCAATGCTTCGTGTGCCAGAGCTTCAACCTGTCGCGCCCATAAGTCTCTCCCTTTAGGCGTCTGAGGAAAAGAAATATTTGTTCTTCATATATATGATGTACATAGAATGTTATCAGGAGAATGTGATAGAAACATGGCAAGCTCATACATTCACAGACACACACGAGCTCCTGCTGCTTAATCACATACTGGATCAGGACCCAGTGTCACTGACAACAACCACAACCACTAGGACTGAATGTTAATGAAACTTTGTACTTTGACCATACAGATGCCCCATAAACCTGGGTCCAAGGAGGGACTTTAGCTGCAGCACTGCCACCCATTTAGAGTCCCTCCCCTCTTCTAGCTGCTCCCTACTTCTCACACTCTGGAGGACACATAGAGAGAGCGTAGTCGTTGAGCTAAAGTAAATTTGAGCTCCTCCAGGGGTGATTCTCCGCGACAGTGAACCAGCGTGGAACTGCTGTTGTTCCCTTGTCGGGCTGCAGGGAGCCCCAACAACAAGCTCCTGAAGCCTTCTCTCTCCAGGAGGGCAGGCATGTGCTGTAAGAAGTAGCCCTCACAGAATGAGCTCAACTCCAATGAACCGTTGGCCTGGAAAATAACGAATAAATGGTCAATTCATGCCACAGGTCATGTTAAAGGAAAGGTGATTTAATGTCACGATGCATGAAATGAGGGTAATTTTAAACTGTTAGAAAATAATCTTTTTTTTCAGGCTATAACTGACTTTGACAGTTTAATATATATATATATATATATATATATAGTAACTTAGTAACTTACTTTTTTGTACAGTTACAGTTGACTGAACAGTCTGAAGTTGTTACCTTAGCTGTCCTGTAGATGCTGACAGCGTTGTCCAGGCTGATGTGACGAGAGCAGATGAGTTCACAGTGTCTTTGCAAAGCTGTCAGCTGGAAGAGGCTGGCTGTTGACAACAACTGCAAGACAACATGAAGCCATAGTTTACACAGAGTACACAGTAAAGTACACAGCTTCTCTTCTCCTTCTAAGTCATCAGAATATTACTCCATGTAAAGCTTTTTAAGGTTTGGTTATAAACTCACTAAAGTGTTAAATATCCACTTGTCTTTATTTCCCCTCAGCTATAGTCATATCTTTACAACTGGCCTTTTGACCTCTGACCCTGTGTATGGTCAACATGTTATGTGACTCTCACCTCCAATAGGTCCTGCACATTAGCCTTCAGTGACTCAGTCCCCCCACAGTACAGGTAAGACATCATCATCTGCAGTCAGATCAGAGGTTTCATTTAAAAACACTGCTGTGTACTTTTAGGTTGTTACACTGTGACGCCAACAAAATATATTTAAGAAGTTGTGGTTCAGAAATCAGGATTAAAAAAATTTTACCTGGAAAATGTTGTACTTCACATCAAAAATCTCCACCTGCTTGTTACATGTACCATCTGGTCCGGACGATGCCAGCAGGGACTTGAATCTAGTAAAAACAAATATTAATGTTAAACTATCACATGTGAACATGTTCTCAACTCGGACTGAATGTCACTGACTTGTCAGAAGCTGTGATGAGCAGCACTCTGTGGCCGTAAAAAGGTTTTCCCTCCACCACGAACGTCACGTCTGACATCTCCTGGTTGTTCAGGAAGTGGGGGTCTGTGGGAAACACCGTCAGCACATTCTTACAAAAACACTTGACTTTATTTTAACACAAAACGTCTGTTCACAGCTAGTCAAATGTCTTAACTGATATCCATTTGTTCATTTCAGGACACAAGAAAAAAAAATATAGTTCTCCATTTGTTTGTAATTATATATGGAGGCCAAACACTGCACACTCTTTGCACACTCTTGATTTTCATTTGTGATTTTTTTTTTACATTTACTAATTTTAAGAATATATACAAAAATAAGATATTAGATTAACACGACTTGTTAGAATAAAGTCACTGTATTTGAATTTTTGGGCAGTCCGTCGGAGGATTGGATGAATTACTACAGTTCACGTTTTAATACGTTGTAATCCTTCAGCTATGGAAAAACAAATCTCAGTGTAAGGCGATAAGTCCTGCGCTTTGTGACACTAAGCTGTGAATGCAGTGATCAGAGATACTGTTCTTACCCAGCTGTGCTGAAAGAGTTGCCTTTATCTCAGGGACGGCCGGAAGGGGGGCTGGGCCGTAAGAGTGACTGAAAATAGCTGCCAACTGCTGGATGACAGCATCATTCTGGAGGAAATGGAGCAGTGAGTCCATTAACACAAAGCAACAGTAGTGCTCACAGAAGGCTGTGACAAGGAGGGCGGCAAAGACCAGTCTAAAGTGACTGCAGGTACCTTAGTGGTACGTAGGATGTTGAACATGAGCGGCAGGCCTATGTTGACCAGCTCCTCGCAGTAGTCCTCTTCTCTAATGGTGGTGAAATCTCGGAGGAGGGAGAGTGTGACCCCCGTCCTGGACTGAAGCTGGGCACAATGTAAGGACTCCAGCCACACATGGAGCTTCCACGGTACACCTGTTTGAAAACGTTGGATTAATTATTAATGAATTATTGTGGATTATTTTTAAAAAAAACTCTCTTCTCACTGATTGATAGTTACCCATGGCACGCAGCTCCATGGTTACATCCAAGTAGCCGTGCTCAGCGCTGTAATAGCTGGCTTCTTGCAGAGCTTTCATCCTGGCTTTGCAGAGCTTGGGTATTCCCATCTCTGGCAAAGCCCCAGGGCCAGAAGAAGGAGTAGAAAGTGGGGACAGAGAGAGGAAAGGGCAGATTGCTGCCTCCTCACCCTCCACCCCTTCGGCTAAGATCTCCTCCAGAGACAGGACATCCTCCTTGACCTGCTGAGGCTGCGTCAGGAGCTTTCTCAGGACATTCCTAACGTGATGAATAACGGGAAGAAAGCAGGGAGAGTGGGGGAGGCGGACACACAAATAGGAAATAGAGAACGAACAAAGGAAAAGAAAGGACACATTAATATGTGTTTCTACTTCAAAACATACACTCGTGTGTGTGACGCATTGGCCTCCGTTCTGTTTACACTAAATGTCACCCTTAATGTGAAATGTGACGGGTTGTGTTCACAAATAAAAGGCAGTGAACAGGTGGAGGGCTTTGATACTAACAACTGGCGTTCACAGATAGATGGGTTCCACAGAGGGAGGCCCTCAACTCACTTTTCATCACCTCGATACTTTCACCCACTTTCATGTCTCTGCAGATTTAAAGGAATGCATGTCTCGCTACAGCGACTTTCAGTGTGTTATTTACTTCACTTTATTGCTACTATTGCTACTATTAAAAGGCCGAACACTTGTGGTCTGTCAGTGACTTCTCTCAGCATCTAAATTATTGTCAGGTCAACCTGAGGTCAAATACCTGTGTCCGTGTGCGGCGGCGTGACTAAAGCAGTTCATGTCTTCATAGAGAGAGGAGGTGAGGGCGTTTCCATCGTGGGTCTTTGATAAGGGGTCAGCTCCTCGTGCCAGGAGCAAACTCACCATTTCATAGTTGCCTGAAAAAGGGGGGTGGAGGGGGTGAGAGTCAGGATAACAAGTTCTTTATTAATCCCCAAGGGGGAGATAGTTGAAACTAGATCATAGACAGAAACAGCTAAGAAACATTTAAATACAATTCCAAACATTCAGTGCTACATCTGCTGCTGTGAAGTAGAGGACGAGCGAATGCCTTCATATTAACCACTGTTTACATGTCGTCACTGCGCTGTGTAACAGGCGGCATGTGTCTCTTTTACTAGAACTATGTGTGGCTTTAGGATGATCCCACAGAGGAATGCTGCCCAGAGGTTTCCACTGAGCCACAGGCAGCGCTCTGTTCCTCACCCTCTTATTTACTCACTGCAATGACACTCACAGCTCAATCTTACGGCTCTCAGGAAAACACACAACTGTGATTTATTAGTAGCTATTTGGCTGGATGTTAATAAGAGTTCATTTATTCACTCATTGGTTTTGCCTCAAAACTCTAGTAAGTAGTACGTATAGTAGAGTAAATAGTAGGATATTTGGATCAAGACACAGAGCTACTGTAAGTCAAATCATCCCCAACATCAGCTGTGACTGTGTGTATGTGTGTGTGTGTATGCATATGTGCGGCCCACCTGCTGCTGAAGCCAGCTGCAACGGCGTATCGGCCGTGCTCTCCTGACCATTGCGGACTGCTGCCCCCTCCACATTAGCCCCAGCATCCAACAGGAGCTGCACAGAGACACCACATCTGTTATATTAGGCAATGTTTAACATCCTGTAACTTATTCTTGGCCTGACCTTGTGACCTCACATTTGTCAGTTCACTTTAGGGAAAATTAGCACTACATCTGCATGTCAGGTTGATCTGCACTACAGTTACTGGAAAAATACAGCCGAGTGCTTCCTGTTGTTGGATCACATCTGGATCATTTTACATTCATTCACATGTTTCCAACCTGTACAACGGAGATGTGTCCGTGCAGCACAGCGAAGGTGAGAGCTGCCCACTGTCGACTATCAGGGTGCACAGAAGGGTACTTTGGAGAACATGGTGGAACCTGCCAGCGAAGGACATACACAGTGAGGTTATGGAGCTGATTGTATTCACAGGAAAAGATACAAATGTGACATTGGATGTCTTGGACTTTATTTAATTGCTGTGTGTAACATATGATCTGCAGCCTTTAAATAAACCCATCTGTTGAGAAGGTTAAGGCATGATATATACCGCCACGTCAAGGTTCGCTCCAGCATCAATCAACATCTGGACTAAAGCCTCGTCTCCAGCTGCGCAGGCATACATCAGAGGGGTCATACCCTGTATGATGAGCAACAGAGTGGGTTCAGGCAATAGCTTTAACAGTAATATGACATATATATTTTACTTTTATGTGACTTTGAGTGTATATTGGCTCAATATTTCACTCAGCACATATGACAAAAAACACATATATGATCACCGGCAGTGTACCTGGTCATCCATACTGTTGACTCCATCTGGTCCCAGCAAATCTATGGCTTGGCCAATGAGGTCTGTGCGCCCACAGTTGAGCATCCGAAAACCTAAATCCAGATGAAACTTGTCTGTGGCAGCTTTGGAGTCCAGACGTTTGAAGGAGCTAAAGCAGCACTCAGGCCTGGTGGAGAGAAAATGAAAATAATGTGAATGGAGTACAAGTCACATTGTATTATCAAATATTAAAGTTAGAAGCATGTACTGTAGTTCATGTCCTGGAGGTAACAAACTTATGGAGAACTGAAAATCACATTTTTTCCCCCCATAAACTTTTTTATAATCATATATAAGACAAAGGCTGACATGGAGTCTAAACTGAAGTGAGGTGTGGCCTGCAGATAGTCACACATGATATCCCTCTGTTCTATGAGGCAGTATGTGATCAATGTGGGTGTGTGTTGTCACTTACTTCAGCTGTCTGGGCTCACAGTCCAGTCCTGGCAGAAGAAGCCGTGCTGTCTGTCTGACGTCATCACTGTCCACCAGCAGACTCTTGCGATGCTCGGCGTGAACTATGGCCACCCTCATCCACTCCATCAGAGGAGGCAGCAGCAGGAAAGGCCTGCGAAGACACAAGATTTTACATTGTGTTTAATGTTCGCCCTCATGCTGTTAGTCTAACTTAAGTCTGTGTAACCAGCGAGGTTAAACACATCTGGTCTCAACTGTTCACTTCAGTGCACACATGATTCAGTTGTTTTTGGAAGGAAAGAGAACCATTAACTCGCCTTCACACTGATGACTTATGAGTGTCTGACACAGAACCTCTCACACTGACCAGCAGACGATGAGTCACACTTAAACACACCCACCCACACACACACACACACACACACACACACACACAGGCCTATATGTACATATATGAACACCGCACCACTCCTCTACTAATCACACACACTTCTTACACATGACATACCGTTAGCCTTCCTGCCCATCATGACGTCCACAGTCACTCAGATAACAGATGTGTCCATTGATGACTAATTACTGTCTGGGGGTTTCCTGGTTTATTTGTATGACATCAGAGTTGTGACTTCTTTTTTATCCAAACCTACAGTATATCTTGAACTGATGACTAAGTTTACCAGAAAAAATTAGAACAATTACAAAAACTAATATTTAAACTGTCAGCTACACTAGTTCCATGAACCAGAGAACAGATTTTTTAATGATAATAAACAATATGACATATGTCTATATGTTATATATTGTATATATATAATATATAGACATATAAATATTTAACTAGCTCTCTTCACTTTATTTCTTATTTTATTCACACCTTCAGAGACCACTGACATGTCATAATCCAGTCTCGTCTGTGCCTTTTCTTTACCATATGTGAATAGAAAGAGTCTGTTAAGAGCGTCTGTTCTGACTCTTCTTGTTTTCTTCTGATGTCATCAAACTCCTCTCCGCGTGGCCTTCTGTTTAAACAACTCTTATCAGGACTTTCCCCTGCTGTGATGGTTTTCTCAACAGTGGTTTGTTTGGAAGAAAAGATTAAACTAGAAATGCATACAATGAATACAGAGGAGTGGGAGAGCATGTGCAGAAAAACAAATATAAACCACTACTGTTAGGTTTCTTCTATTGTAGTTACTGTTAATGAGCACTGGGACCCCTGCAGTGTCATCTGTTCTGCTCACTGTGTTAAGTTTAAGCAGCAGACCTGTGGTTTCACAGTCAAACTAAATGCTTGCTGTGCTCCACAGAATGCTGCCTTATTTATCAGTCCTTTGTGAATTAAGTACAACATATATTTATTCTCACATATCTCAAGTAATTTTTCAAACCACCTTTGCACATGCATTGCTGCCAATGCTAATGTACTGTAAAAAAAAAGAGAGAGTTTTTTTACTCTAAATGGCATCAGTGTTTTTATCATTCCATAGCACAGTTGTTGCTGTGTGTTAGGTTAACACTTTGTCTGTCAGTGAGTCGTCAGGAAGGAACTTCTTGCCACCTGTCACTGTGGTGAGACGGTTAACAAGCAGACATGGAGATAATTGGTTGGAGGAGGAGGGAGTGAAGTATGTGAGTTGATGGGGGTCAGGGCTTGGACGTGTGGACTGAATGCCACATCTGTGGGTAGGAGGAGCAGTATAGATTTAGAGATCAAAGTTTTTCCTTTTTACTAATGGCTGGCACTCAACATTAACTGGACTGATTTGTGCATTTGTGCATGTCCCTGTGTCCAAAAACGCCACGAGGCATACTACCTACCCCACCCACCCTACCACAACACAGGACACCTGCTGTCAGGGAGGGATTCCCTGTGGGTGCTAATGGCTTTAGTCAACTGTGTCGAGCTTTTAGCACTAACCACTCATTGATTTATCAGTCACCAGTGTTGGGCACGTTACTTTTAAGTAATTAGTTACTAGTTACTTCTCCCAAAAGGTAACCGTGTTAGTAACTGAATCATTACACTACAAAAGTAACTAGTTACCAAGGAGAAATAAATATTGCATCACGTTTTTAAAAGTTTAATATGTCTAAGAATTCGATTTTTCTAAGCAAGTTTCACAAACTAGAGCTGCATAGACATGTACTTATAAATATTTTTTTGAAATATTAATTGCACATCAACAGATCACAGCCTATAAACATACAATGCAAACATACAAAAAAATTCTTTAATTGAATAAAAATGCACTTATTCCCCTATTAAAATACATAGCAATGATCTTTAAATGGTTATTATTTAGATAAAATATACTTTTTTGGTACATTAACCATTGATCAAAAGTAATATTCTATACTAATACAATTCTTAAAAAAGTGTAATTAATTTTAGTGCAAAATAATGAGGTAAAAAAAATATTATTATAAAGCAAATGCACTATTAGTCTTTATGCTTATTTATTTAAAAAACACCATTAATAATTTTGTTTATTTTAACACTGTTATTCCCATCCCTGTCAGTCACATTGTTCCTTTATCTTATCTGCATGTGTGTGTGTGTGTATGTATGTGTATGTGAGCACTGCCCATCTCTGCCGGTGGTACAGACAGATGGAGCGTGTCTGTACCATCAAACATTCACCCATGGCCTCGGTCAAACAAATCATCTCTCCTACTTTCTCAAAACCTTTCTCCCTCTTCACTTCCTGCTCTCCCCCATAAGCCTCACATCTGACCCGGGGCTGTGTTATGCCCTCAGTCTGAAACATCAAGATATGCTTCCATAGAGAGCAGCATCAAAGCAGGGATGTCTGTTAGCAGTGAAACTAAATAGCACTTGAGTCTAGTCTAGCGACCTGACCTGCTCAGACTACACACCAGGAACAGCAGGAGACACTCACCGCTACAAGCACAGACCCTTAACTCTCCCTTTAGTGCCACCTGGCTGGTCATTAAATGACAGCTCAAATTGTGGTCAGGTGACTTTAAACTGTGTTTAAATTCTGATCTGCTGCACATGAAAGGCGACTCTATATCACAGGTTACAAAGTTCTGGGTGACCTTTCACACTATTACAAACTTCAATCCAATCTGAAGTCGACCACATTATGTGCAGCACAAGGTCATGGCCGACCCCTAGATTGACTCAGCTTATTATCATTTAGGCTACATCCAGGGGGTTGTAGACATTATAAAAGTAAGGCCACTGACCACTTCCTATCACAATAACACTTAGCATTAACACTGACCTCCATTCAGGATAGGAAGCTGAGGGTTTGTGGTGTTCTGGGTGAATACAATACTGTAGCACTTCACTTAATGCAAACCGATCTGACAATTTAAAGTTAGTTTATGACTTGTGGCATCAATAGAAATATTTTAAAGGCAGGCTGTTAATGCAGTAGACCTGGTCACCCTGGCTTACTTAGTGCAGGCCGTTATAAGATCCTTAGTAATTACAGAGTACAAGCCTAAATGGAGCGGGCCAGAAAAACATGTGCACTTCTCAACTGAATAGGTTCCCCGATTACACTCTTGCCACCAGGCTGTGTTAATACCTGATGATGTGAACTACACAGATGTGGCAGTATTGAGTTTCAACCAAAGCTTTTAATTTCCGTGGAAGAAACGAGATCTGAATCATCACCTGCGTCGTTTCATGTTGACAGTGATATGGAGACAGATGGGCAGAGTTCTAGAGACATTGTGAAGATGTTGCAGATGTTTCAAGGTATACATTTACACATCAACAACTTAACAATTTATATTATAGACAAGTCCACACACGTGGGTTTTAAATGTCTCTTGTTAATTTCTCACTTGTCTGTCTGTCTGTCCTTCAGAGTGAATGAATACTAAATATCTTAAAATATATATTGCTTAAATGTAAAATAAATATATCGCACATGTCGTAAAACTAAATATTTAGGTTTAATTTATAATTTTTATTACTCTAATTACAAAAAGAAATCATCTTTTTTAGGGAGTGTTTGATACTATTGCTGTCTATTAAATCAGTCTTGGGAAAGAAAACAAAAAAGGACACATTTATATAATTGCACTTCAAAGACAAACCAAGGAAGATCTGAAAAGTCCTTGACAAAATTAGAGTCCATTAGCACTACTTTAAATCCCTCTAACTACTAGTCTTTAGTCTAGTTCACACTCCGTGGGTGTGTATCTCACTCATCTATCAGACTAACAGTAACACCTGGAAGCTGTTGCTGACCTGTCATTTGCCTGCAGAAAATTAACACTTCAATAAATAGAGGGCGAGCAGGCGTGAGCTGTGGGAGCTGTCTACTAGGATTCACATGATTAGAACATGGGTGTCAAGTTTAAAGTGGTGAGTGTTTGTGTATTTCACTGCATGTAAAAAAGACCTTATTGAAATAATCTCATCAGGCAGATTACTGTTCAGTCACATATGTAACCAGGAAACTGATTTTAAACCAAAAGAGGATAGGCAGGTTCTCTCCTACCTCTCCTTGCTAAGTGCCATGCGGGGGGGATCCAAGTTGGGATTCTCCATGGATTCCATTTGTGGGCAGCGCAGGAAATAGTACAGGGTGTGGAGGGCATTAGGTGACCAAGACACAGGCTGCTGGGGGTGGGCCTGGCGGACTGGACTTAACCCCAGGCGCACTGAGCTCAGACGCTGCATATGATGCATGGCTCGAGAGACCAGGTCACCTAGAAAGGAGGAAATGTAGGAGATTGATGTTGAGTTAAAATCTTCAACACAAAATGTCTGATCTCAGTTTAAACCCTTACCAACATTAGACTATTAAAGCATTTACCAGGTTGATAAGGTAACAAACCCTGATAACTGGAAACTCTACTGACCAGCCACGATGGTGGAGGTTGATGGCCTCATAAAATTGGAGGTCTCATCGGCTCCCACAAATTGTGCTAGTTTGTGTGAAATAGCCTGCATCACCCTGTGGCACCAACTCCCATCATTAGAAAGAGCTTTGAGCTACTGTTAATGAGACCCATTTGCCCCCCTCCTCCCCTCCACACACACAAACACACACTCTACAATTTGCTTATCGTTGATACTGCTCCAGAGCTTATCTCATCTCCTACACACCACACTGCACGCCGTCCTGTCCGAGCTGGACAATAAGGTCACATGCCACAGCATATCTTATGTCTTTTTGGCTTCGGTTCAACATTCAAAAATCACCCTGCAGTAGCTTCCTACAGAGAGACCACAGACAGCGTGCACATGAACGTCAGGCCCCGTCAAACTAAGCACAATGCCCCAGGAGTTTGCTCCTGGCTGTTGTTTAAACAGCTCACTGACATCTGTACTGCAAAAGTCCGATTTAGGTGAAGTTCGCTCATGATAAAACTACAGAAACGCTGGTACACTGAAAACCTTAACACAAAAAGAAACATAGAAGCAGAGTGAAGAGCATTAAGAGGCAAGGTTCGAGTGGAGGTCCTGGGGAAACATTCATTTAGCATAATTAGCCCCAGTATATTTTCTAACCAGATTATCCTGGGTACGATGCAGCACAGAGGCCTAGGCTGGTGATTCAAGTGAAGTTAGTGTGTGTGCGTGTGTGTATGTCCATATTAGGGGCTTGGGGCATTTGAAGGGGGATGGATTGGACTAACCTTCCCTAAAGCAGACCCCACTTAAAGCTGAAGGGCCCCCTTTGTGTAAAGCACCACCAGCAGTTCTCCGAGTAGGCCTCAGAGGAATTCCTGCCTTGGATGGAGAACCTCTCTCTACCATTCAACCCTTATTGTGCCCTGAAGCCAAACTGAGCTCTGCAGGTCAGAGATATATGAAATACTACTGGTTCAAGGCTTACAAACTTGGTTCCCTTTGAAAAACCTTGAAACAAAATAAACCCTGGCATAAGTCTTTTAAAAACACAGTTTGACGTAATGCTTGTACCAGGGCATTTTCCAAGATAATGAAAAAGATTAGGGTAAATATAAGA